TCTCATCCTGGCAGCATGTCATCATGTGCATCCGTCCTATAAAGGTATTTGTTATGCGCCGAATCCGTACAACGCGGTGAAAGCCAGAAATGCCATGATGGCCATAGGGCAAGACAGGTAAACTTGAGCTTGAGCTAGGCCGTCAACTTGCGAGAAAATGGGACCCTGCGGCCGGTACAAAAGATGAGATCAACTATAATCTGTCTGCTGCTGTGAGTGCGTGAGTCGAGAGGGGACTGCTCTAATGCCCATCATCTGAACAGGCGCAGGCCCCGAGTGAGATATGGAAGAAAGTTGTCATGTCGGAGGAAGCAACTCTAAAAGTCAACCTAAAAAGCAGCATTGTACCTAGTATCCGTAGATACCTTGGACTAGAAAAGGTTGCTGCTTTCTGCTCGGGTTTAGGCTCGGCGTAAAGATGGTTTGGCGATAGTTAATGACTATGGGCGTGCAGTGCGGTGGTTGCGAGAGTAAATTGCCCGGTATGGAATGTGTACGTACGGCCCAGTTGGCAATTTCTACATTGGATGCCACCAACGTTGGAAAAGTCTGCACACGGGCGATTCGGACACCGTCCTTGGCGACCTTGGCAGTGTGAGTAAGTTTGAGTAATCACCGGTATATAGAAGGTGTCGAGAGGTCGGGTGGTTCAGAGTCAGCAACTCGCAGCACACACGGATTGTTCGCTGTCGCCCGGGGCTACCACGTTCGCTTACACCATCTTTCGTGTTCGGGAATGGCGATGGGTGCCCTTCTCAGCCCGAGGATCTCAGGTCAGGTCTGAAGAAGGGAGGAACATGTGAGGCGGAGATGATAATACACATGGCGATGTGTTGGTATGCAATGTGATGACGGCACGCTCGCGATGAGGTCAGCGCCTGGGTTGAGGAGTCGAACAACCTTGAACCAACGAGTCGGAAATCTAATTTCATGGTAGACCGTCTCGGGGTTTGCGATCCATTGTGGTGGTGGTCAGGGGAGCGTAGGCACAAGAAAGCTTGATCTTGCATATGTTGGCTAAATAAAGTGGGAGGGAGTGAGGAGTGAAGAAACGGGCTTGCAGGACGCCCAAAGAAAGGCGCAAAGTATGTCCAGATAGAGCTTCCAGAGGGGAAACAAACAAGAAGAACAGACACGGTGACTCCATTAGACAAGCTTGGAGGATCACCTGCGAAGAAGTCTTGGTGTTTCTGCCAAGCCGGACGAAGGAGCTGGAGGTGGCTTGAGCAGGGGGAAGAAGAGAAGAAGTTTGTGCCTTATGCTTCCGCCTTAGTACCAAGGCACAAATAAAAGAGGAAAAGACGCTACGCCAAGACGGGCATGATGACTAAACATGTACCGACCGGGGGCCTGAATTGGGTAGGCTCGTGACCCCACGTGATCTGTTCTCCGGCCCGTGCAGCAGCTGAAGGCTCAAGGCCGGCTGGCACGGGAACGGAAGATCGGCAGCCAATTGAGAACCGCGTCTTCTTTTGTCAGAAACCACCCGTGGGCAGCTGTCTTGATCTGTCTGGACCTCCTGACTGCCTGTCTGGATCGCAGCTATGAGAGTGAGAGGTACGAAGTACTTGGTTACGTACTGTCTGGACCCCGACTCCGTCACTCCGAGCATACGTAGTAGATAGGTAACCACCACGACTTATCCCTAAATGGACTAGCGCTAAGGGATGAGTCTGGTCCGGTCCAATACCGGGGGACTCTCGTTGCTTCCTGTCACCACCACCACCAGATCTGCGAGAGGAGAACGTGACTTTGCGCCCGACTCGCTCCCAATCAACCAAGTCACTTACTATCACCGATGCCCCGCCTCACCTTCCCCCCCGTTCTCTGTTGAACTGTTCCTCCATCCATACCGTCTGCCGATAGTCAGTCCTACGGATAGGTTCAGTCTCCGGGTTCAGTGTTCACGGTTCAGCTCCCAGCCGCCAGCCTCGTCGATTTACCGCAAAGAGGTGAGCGCACCCGCCTCTCCACGCCCAGGCTCCGCGACTCGCTCTCCCGTCTCTTCCCCCGTCCCAACGCACGTAACAAACTGGAACCCACCGCCCACGCTGTACTTCATACAGATACCTACCTTACTGCAGGCAGAGCAGGGAGAGCAGAGAGCTCATACGGATAGAAAGGCTCGCCCGTCGTCTTGGTTCCTTCCCCACGTGCAACGTTCGCTTCCCGTGCAACGCAAACTCGACGAACCTCCGTCTGCGTGGTCACACGCCCACACCTCTCACCCAACCAAACCAAACCCGCCCGCACCGCACCGCACCGTACCGCACTACACGCCCCCCCAATCCATCCATTCATCGACGGGAAAAGACTCGCTCGCCATTTGCGCGCGCGCCCTCTTACTTTTTTTTTCTTTTCTTGCTGCTCCCCTCCCGTCGCCACCGTCCAAATCCAAACATCACGGCCCTGCTGCCCGTTCCATCTCCGAACCCGGCCCATATTGGATCGCGACTTCCGTACGAAAAAGTAGGGGTCCAAGACATTACCGCATTACGCCCTTATTGCCGCCACTAACCATCACCACCACCACCACCACCTCCACCTCCAGCCCGGCGAGCATCCATCTGTCCCCAACTGTCCGCTGCCCCCCCTTCGACGCTTGGGGGATACCCTTATCCTCCTCCGTCCTGCTCGGCTACTGCCATCCCTCCGCCTCCTCCGTCTTCTTCCCTCCCTCCCTCCCGTTCCGTCTGCTCTCGTCGAAAAAGGTCTCAATGTCAGACGATGAGTTCGGCGGCCCGGATGGCCCACCCGGCAGCGCCGGCGGAGACCGCGACAAGCGTGCACCGCGCTTCAGCTGGACGCCCGCCTACGAGGCTACCTTCTTCCGATCCCTTTGCGACTCGGTCCAGCTAGGCTTGCGCGAGAATCACTCCTTCAAGGCCGACGCCTGGGACCGCGCCGCCACCGCTCTTCGCGAGAAACACGGCGCATATCCGACAAAGAGCCATCTCGTCAACAAGTCGGACAATGCGCGCAAGAAATTTCGTCTCTGGCGTGGCCTTCGCGAGGACCCTGAGTTCCTCTACAACCCGACCACCCGTACCGTCACCGCTTCCGAGGAGGCCTGGAAGGCGCATATCGAGGTGAGTTGACACGCGCGCGCGCATTCCGCCTGCCCCCTGTGATGATGATCGTGTCGTATCGGACTTGTCGCTGACCCTTTCTCCGCAGAAAGAGCCGTTGTCGCGCGCGTTGCGTGGTCGGCCGTTCGATCATGAGCAGTTCATGGAGATTCTGTATCCTGATGTCGTCGGCTCCGGAGGTGCTCCTAAACGTATCATGAAGCCGAAGCGAAAGGGTCCGGACGTAATTCAAGGGTCTGAAGACCCGGATATGCCGGGCACCGCAGTCCTCGATCTTCAGGTTGAGCCGCCTTACGGAACCCCTTCGCAAACGGGCATTAACCACCAGGTCCAGCCTCGCGGCTCCGTGAGCCAGTCTCCCGTAGCACAAGTCCAACAACCCATGATACCCCAACAGCAGCAGCCCCAGCAGCAGCAACAACAACAACAACAGCAACAGATACAGCAACACCAGCAACCACAGCAGCAACAGCAGCGACCCACCTCTACCGCGATTCCGCCTAGGACGCACATTGCAGGCACGAGCGCTTTGACGCCCCCGGAGGAAACCGCCACAGGACGTAAGAGATTCCCCCAGCAAGTATCGACATCGGATACCGGCGGCAAGGCCCCGACAGCACCCATGGGACCGCCGGCGCAACCAGCAGAGAAGCGGCGACGTACCTCGGGCTACACGAACCCCGCGCAGGCATCAGCGGCAGGCGCATCAAATAGCCACAGCCACAGCCACAACCACAGCAACGATGCGACGACAGCGTCCATGGTCTCTGCCGGCAAGCAGCTGATGGAGGACGGACTGATCAAGATCGCCGACGCTCTCCGCGGCCGGAGCCCACCGCGGTGGCCCGAGCAGGCAATTGACATCTTTTTCCGTGACTTCTCCGACGAGGATATGGACCTCCAGCTTAAGATTGCTGAAAAGGCTCTCGCGGACGATAACAAGGCCATGATCTTTTGCAAGATGTCGCCGGCGCTACGCAAGCACTGGGTCAAGCGTCTTAGAGAGTTGCACAACAACAGCCGCAACACGTAGCGCCCTCCTTCCCAATGCGTAGTGTTGGACCAGCAGGCGCAAGAGGAGGAAATGTAGGATTCGGGGGTCGAGTAGCGGCGTTTTCGGTCGATCGATGTAAGAAAGGCTTATCGTGTGCGTGTGTGTGCGCGTGTCGGCAAAGCGGGCAACGGCTAAAGGCAAGGCTAGGCTGGTCAAAGGGCGAAAGCGTATTGTGTTGGCTTCATCAAAGGTGTTGAACTCGAAAGGGCTTGGGGGCTGGATCGGCAAGATAAGTTGCGAAAGGGGCGTTTTTTACGGTCTGGAAGGGTTCTACAAACGGGGTTGAAGGAGTTAGCAACCAAACGGCATAGCGATTTGGGGGGGATGTTGAGCTTTGGGCGAAACCTACCTTTTATTTTTCTTCGTCTCTTTGTTTCTTTTTTTTTTCCTGTACGATTCCACGATCACCACCCATACCAGAAATTACCTTATGTGGAGGTTAGCCGGAGTGCGGAAGTAGCAGACCGGGCGGACGAACGGTCGGTCTTTTTTTCTTAGTATATTCAATATTTATTGTTGATATTACCAGTGGTGTGGTATACCCTAGTTATCAGAATGAATCTTATGGTGGAATCGAGACTTGTCGTAGGGTGTTGTGAGGTCATCTACAGTCAGCTTTCAAAGGTATTTGTTCAATCATTGTATGGAGAGAGCAAAGTGTGTTTTGGAGGAGATTGTGTGTGGATTTCCATAATTCGCCCCGAACGCCCAGTGCATACATTACAGCCAAGAGCCGTTATCCGACGTCGTTGTTCGTCAAGACGCCATTACACGCCAAACAAGCCAGCATCCGTGCAAACATGCCCAAACAGAGAAGAGTAGTTCCCAACCTAGGAAGTAGAAGGAAAAAGAAATTCAAAGCCGCCGTCGTCCCCGACGCGCACTTGTCTCTTTATTTCTTGCCCTTGGTCTTGTACAGGTAGCTGTAGAAAAGGAAAAGTCAGCATTGTGATGACTAGTGAGTGGTCAAAGTATACGAGGTGCTTACCTTCCAAAGATACCCTCACCCAGGCCAACAACACCAAGGATGCCCAAACCCAGACCGACGCTCTGCCACGACAGACGGCCGCGCTCGTACAGACCCCAAGCCTTGTATCCGAGGAAGGCGCTGAGGCCGACGACACCGACGAGGTTGGAGACGACGAGGGCGCTGGCGCTGCCGTCGGACAGAGAAGAAAACTGGCGCTTGAGCCACGAGTCGGCCTTACGGGCCTTGGAGGCGGCCTTCTTCTTGGCGAGGTCGGCCTCGGCGCGGGCCTTTTCTTCGCGCTCGACGCGGTCGGCTTGGGTGTCTGTCTGGATCTCCTGCTCAAGGAAGTCGTTGGGGACGGTGTGTACGCTCGGCATGTCGACGTCGACGAGGGAGGAGGTGGAGGCGGTGGAGTCGACTGAAATTTCGGGGGGAGGGGGAGCGGCGGCCTGGATGGGGAGGATTGTCAGCGATTGTTACACGAAGGATCGGGAGGCGAGGTGAAGATGATGAGATCACGCGATCAGGTAGAGGAAGAAGAACAAACGTACCTCCTCGGGAGTCTGCTTGGGGCCCTTGGCGGCCATGTCTGCGTAGGAAGCCACTGAGAGGGTTGTCAGCATCGCACGCGCAACGTCGAGTATGACGCAACTTTGTTTACTTACTTATGAGAGAGCGGAGCTGTGGTTGGAAGAGAAGCTTTTGAGAGCTTTGATGTGTTTGGGGGTATCAAAGAGGGAGGGAGAGATGCAGTGTGTGAGAGAAGTGTAAAAAAAAGGTGTGTGGCAGATCGACAGGATGGCGCGCGGGATGGATGAACGGGTAGGTTGTTTCCTTTTAAGAGGATGCAGTCATGTGAAATGAGGATAAAAAGGGAAGAAGCCGGAAGAAAAACCTGAGGATGATGGATGGATGGGAGGGAATGGTCCGTCAGGTGGTTTGATGGGATGGAGGATGGCGCACCCCCGCGAGCGCTTTCCTTGATCTTGGTTGGCGCGTAGTGGCCTGGATACCAATGACGTATGACGTATGCGGCTCGGGAGCTTGGGACAGGTTGATCGGCGATCCAATCAGAATCCACTATGTATCCCCTGCACGTGCCTGGGTACCTCTGTACGAATAGGCATGTACTTCGTACCTGCCACCGAGGGGGGAAAGTCGGGTCCTGCCGTCACAACTGTTGGCCAGGAACAATGTCATGCGCCGGGGCATCCTCGGATGGGGTATAATGGGTCCTAAGGTGCCTACCTACCTAGGTCGAATAAGGTATCCGTAGGTATGCATGCTGTCATTGATGCACTTTGTGATGTTATTTATGCTGATGGGGCTCTAGAGAGTCATGTTTTCGTAGCTAGGCGTTTCGAAGCTAGGCATTCCATCTGCACTATCAATATCAAAGGGTCAAAATAAACAACTGGAAAATGACCGGGGAGCCCCTCAGAGAAGTGTATGTCTATTGGTCTTTTTTGCTTCCGTACTGATACACTGTGTACACGATTATGGTACATGAAATATGCCTGAATTTTCCCCCGTCATGGTTTCATTAGCCACGCTCCGCAGTCACAGCCGCAGCTACGACTTCGCTGTGAAGCGTCTGCTCCTTCTCTTTCTCCTTCACTCTACAGTCCTCCTGGTGGCCACTTGTGTAAAATTGGTACAGAAAGCATCATCTCTCTCGATTTAAATGTTGTTCGCCGCAGTAGCATCGACGGCCTTGTTGTTGGGCTGAGTAAGGTCAACAGGCTCAGGCGAGGGCACCGCCGGGGCCTTGGGCTTCTTCTCCTGCTTCTCGACCGGCGCGGGCTTCTTCTTCTCTTCCACCTCTGATTCGGCCTTGATCTCAGCTCTGGGGGCAGGGGCAGGCGCCGGGGTGTCGGCCTTGGTCTCCTTCTTGGTCTCCTTGTTGTCCGCTTTCTTCTCCTCAATGGCCTTGGTAGGCGGCGCGACCGTAGCATCGGCGTTGGCGTCGAGGGCGGGCGCGGCATCGGCCTCATCGGCGCCTTCGTCGTCGGCCAGCTCGTCGCCGTAGACTTCGGGGTATTTCCTGAAGCACGTCTGCATTCCCCTGCAATTCCAGTTAGCATATCTTCTCCCCACAACCACATCGTGTCGTATCCGCCAACATACTGGAACTTCTCAATGCAGTCCATGCCCTTGGGCTCTTCCTTGGAATACACAAAGCAGCTAAACGCAGCCTTGAACTCCTCTCCGCAAGGGCCGTCAGCCATGCCGCCCAGGCACGGGCAGTCCCAGTTGATCTCGCCTGTCTCGGGGTTGAAAGCACCCTGCTGATCGGCCTCGGCCTCCAATGCCTCAGGGGATCCGGGGGCGGGTGCCGGGCTTCCCTCGGCGCCCTCACCCTCGAGTGCCGCCTTGGTGTGCTCGCTGGCTTCTGTCGGTACGGGGGCAGCGGCGGCGGCGGGCTTGGCCTCCTCGGCCTTTACGATGGCTCGCTTGCGCTTCTCTTCGACAATGGCGTCGACGGTGGTGAGGTCGGACTCGGAGAATTGGGACGGGGCGGCGATTGTTCGGGCTGTTGGTAAACATTAGTTAGACAGACGTATTCCCTCGAAGCATCTCTATCGTTGGGAAAAACATACGGATGGGCTCCTCGGCAAAGACCGGACTCGTGTTGTACCAGTACAGAGCACCAGCGGCGAGACCCCATCTCACTGCCGCGCCCTTCCACGTCCTAGGCTTGTCGGCGGGTGCTGTTGAGGCGAATCGTCTAGGAGCTGCGCGAATTGCCGACTGTCGGGCGGCGCTCAGGGCGCGGGGCGCCGAACGCATGCCGCTGCGATACATTGTGTGTACGTAGTGTCTGTGAAAGTCTGAACCAAAAGGAAACAAGAGGACGTGGGGGAATTGCAAAAAAAAAAATGACAAAAGACAAAGGGGAATTAGAGAGATGGGCGGAGGGCGCGGGTTGGTGGTGGTGGGCAGCTTTGGCAGCTTTCCAAGTGTTGCTGGTTGGTAATCCCAGGTGGAAAAGAAAATTGAAGCTTCGAATGGGCGGGTTCTGCCGGGGTTTTAGCGGCGCATTATCGCTTGACTGCGCGCCGTCGACGCCTGCCACAGTGCCACGCCCGCCCACGTCCCCGTCCGATGCAGCCTGCAAGGTCCGGCCGATCGGACGGTTCGAAAAAAATCCAATTAAAATCTGGGAGATTCGGCGCTTCATTGGCTGCTGATGCCGTGCACCACTTTCTGCGAGATACTCCATTTTGGGCCGGCGACACTGATGACTGCCTGCGTGATACCTACGTAGTAAGGAACGCATCATGGACAACCTTGGATAAAGCACATGTTGCAAGTCAGTGTTACCTTACATTGCAAATTCCCTCAAACTCTCAGCTGTGTCACTTGACCAGCATCAGGTCAAAGTCTGTCACGTTTGCACTTCCTATGAACTGACCTATTGGGGTTTCCATAGGCCATTTGTGTCAAGAGACATTTTCTTTTTTGACTTTTTGGCTATTTGACTGAAGTTGCTTCGTGCCAAAATATAGAGACTCTTCAAAATGTCTCCAACCTTCGAGTGGCGACCAATAGGTCTACTCCGCGACAAGAAGCCAGAACAACCTAGCAGTGGCGACTTTTCACTCATCGTGCTCAACCAGCCTGTGAAGCAGACACCAGTCTTTGACTCACTATGGGCAAATGGTACGAGCTTGTCGCGTTCATCTAGTCCGAGCCCCTACTAACCCCCGTGAAGCTCTCACGCGAGTTGCTGCAGATGGCGGAGCAAACAGGCTACACGATCTGAACAAAGCAGCTCAAGCTCATTCTCATCCTCCATACGTGAGTTTTTGGCTCCCTTGCCATCTTGGGGGGGCTTATCTGACCCATACAGAACAACCTCGACGTCATCATCGGAGACTTGGACTCGCTCCTCCCCGCTGTCAAGGACTACTACACAACGCTGGAAAAGCCAACAAAAGTCATACATGATCCCGACCAGTACTCAACAGATTTTGCCAAGGCCGTCTCATGGGTCCGATCAAACCACGGACCCAAGACCGACATCGTGGCCCTCGGGGGATTGGGAGGTCGCGTCGACCAGGGACTCAGCCAGGTGCACCATCTGTACCTCTTCCAGCCAGGCCCGGGCTATTCCCAGGGCAAGCTGTACCTCGTCTCTGGCCAGAGCCTGACCTTCCTCCTCAAGCCCGGCCATCACAGCATCTGGGTCCGCGAAGACGGCGAGGACGTCTTTGGTAAGCACGTCGGCATCATCCCAATCGGCGGGACCAGCTACATCACCACCCAGGGCCTCGAATGGGACGTGGAGAACTGGGAAACCAAGTTTGGGGGCCACATCAGCACCAGCAACCACGTGCTGCCCGGGACCAAGGTGGTAGAGATCGAGACGACCGAAACGGTCCTTTTCACCATTGCTCTTGTGGGCACTGAATAAGCCAGAAAAAAGGTCAAAAACAAAAGTCGACAGTCGCTTGTTGTACAGGGAGCTCCTTGATGACCAAAAATTTGCACGGCGCATAAGCTGCAACCCCGCCGACTCCAAACGCCTTTTGCCCTGATCATTTCCCCAACTTCGTTTTCTCGTCTCTCGCGGCGCAACTCCAACCTGATGTGCATCTACCGTAAAAAGTGTATGCACGCCCAGCAGAAGAGGAAGAAGATGATGACACCGGCCCAGAAGATCCACTTGTCTTCCTTGGCGCGGCGCTCAATCATGCGAATGGTGTCGCCGGAGATGCCCAGCGTGTTGCCGACGGAGTAGAGTCTCTTCTGGGTGTTCTTCAGCATCTCACGCTGCGTCCCCAGATCGCCCAGTACTGCTTGCCCTCGAGCAATGTATTCGTCCAAGGCCGAGTTGGTGCTAGCGAAAAAGTTCTGCTCTCGTAGAGCGTGTTGTTCCCTTGTGACATCGTTCCCGCCCATGCTCAACCCACCGCTGCCCGCCTGGCCCGTCGATGCTCCTCGGCTGTGGAACTGTGATGACTTATTGACATTGGCGTAGGGGTTCTCGGGAGTAGCAGTAACATAGGCCCGACGGCCTAGCAGTTCGCCTCGATTGTTGCTGAGGGCGGCTTCTTCGCGAGCCTTCTTGAGGGAGTCGACCTGTGATCTGAAGTCGGAGAGGTCATCGCGGAACCGTTTCACCCGCTCGTAGGCTTCTTCTTGTTTCTTAGGTACGAGCTCCTGGCGGGCTAGTTGATTGTATTCATCGACGGTCTTGGAGAAGGAGGCGAGGGAGGCGGACACGTTTCCAATTTCGGCTGGGGTCAGGGCAGCTGGTTGCGCAGCTGAGGTGGAAAGCTTTTCGAGGTTGTTGCGGATAGCCTTGCTCTGGCGTAGAGCCGAGTTGTACTGGACGTTCTGCAGCTTGTTAGTATGGCGCATCCAGGTTTTAAAGCTGGGGGGGAGTCTGAGAGGTAACCTACCATGCTGGACTGATGTGTAACGGAGTGCTGTTGTTGGATCGAGGTAGAGTAACTGTCGAGACTAGAGCAATTAAGAGAGTAGATGCTGTCTCTCGAGTGCGAGCAGGGTCTCTTAGTCCAAGGTAAGGTACTGCCTGACGCCTAATGGAGCTCTGGACACTTCATGCTGGAGCTCCCTCCTCCCTCCTCCCTCTCCCTGGGTACGAAGGTACCTCCGACCCTCCAGGTGGCTTCTGCACGGAAATGTGTCACCGCCTTCCCAATCGGGGTGGGGATCGGTCCTTAGGCACTCCGTACCGTGTATACGTACTCCGTACGGAGTACAGTGTTGAGTTTAACCGATGACGGTCCGCTCCATCCCGGAGGTCCCGTCTCTACCCCCTGGCTCCATCTTCCCTCTTGGCATTCCGTGTAAGTTCAATTGTGACTCTAAACCTTCAACTTCACCTCGATATCTCAACACACTCACCAGATCCTTACGATAGCTTCTACTTACTTTACAAACGTGGATAAGTTCTTATGGCCGGACCCTTTCTCCCCTCTACAACCGTCGATAAACGAGATGACCATGATGGAATGCCTTGCCGAGAGCGGGCCGGTCAGCACTCAGCTCGAGGGCTTCGGTCGAGGTCCGCGATGGAGAAGTCACGCGGTAATGTGATTATCGCCGGGATCTAATGCTTTTTCTACTTGGGTTAGGAATGGCCCACGGGGCACAGATTAACTAGGACAGAAAGATACCGAAGCCTTTCTCCGCTAGCCTGACACTGTCGCAGCTCCAGTGTGCGATGAGACACGCCGACTCGGCACCGACTATGCAATCTGACAACGATGTCGTATTAGTTCCACCGAACCAGCGGTGATGGATTACATCTGCGCCCCCGATGCCCCCAAATGCCCCCAAAGTGCCCGATTATGGATTATGCCCCCAATGACTGCCTAGCCAAGTACCTAGCCGCAGACGGACTTTTTCATCATAAGTCTTGATCTCGGCAATAACATGTCTATATCAATACATTTGTCCCATGCCTGGCGTTCCTCTTATTGCACTCTCCTCACTTTCAGGCTCTGTGGCAAGGCTGGGGAAGACTGAGATCCAACATCATCGTCAACCATGTCTCGACCAACGAGTCCTACATCTTCAGACATGTCAGCGCCACCAGCCGACTCTACCAAGACAACGATAGTAGACGAGGAAGCACCTGCACCACCAGACGAGCCACAACCTCCACCATACACAGTATATACGACATGGGAGAAGCGCTTCATCGTGCTAGGAGCCGCGCTGGCTGCCTTCTTTTCGCCCTTCACCGCGCAAATCTACCTCCCGGCTTTGACTGTTCTCGCCAACGAGTTCAACGTCTCCGACTCGGACATGAACCTTACGCTGACGACTTACATGATCTTTCAAGGGATCGTGCCCATGTTCATCGGTTCCCTGGCTGATCAGAGCGGCAGACGCCCTGCCTATGTCATTTGCTTTGTCGTCTACATCGCGGCCAACATTGGCCTTGCACTCTCGCAGAACTTCGCTTCTTTGCTCATCGTTCGCTGTATCCAGTCTGCAGGCTCCAGCAGCACCGTCGCTTTAGCTTCAGCTGTTGTGGCAGATAGCATCACATCGGCTGAGAGGGGGCAGTACGTTGGTCTTACTGTTGTTCCCATTGTTCTGGCACCAGCACTCGGCCCAGTTCTCGGCGGTGTTCTGGCACAATATCTAGGATGGAGGTCCATCTTTTGGTTTCTTACCATCTTGGCCGGCGTCTTCTTCATCATCCTTCTCCTCTTCTTCCCAGAGACTTGCCGGAGGATCGTAGACGATGGCTCGGTGCGGCCTCCAAAGCTCTACCGAACCGGCTTCCAGCTTATCAAGGACTATTATAGAGCCAAAAAGGGAGCTGGAGCGCCGGTGACGAGACAAACGACAGAAGCGTCAAATACTGCCAAACCGACTCTCAAGTTCAAGATCAACCCGTTCGAGTCACTTCGTCTGCTCTTCGAGAGGGAACTTGGACTGCTCCTCGGCTTCAGCGCTATCGTATTCGCCGGGTTTTACGCCATCGCCTCCTCCATGCCGACCCAGTTCCAGGAGATTTACGGCTTCGACAGTCTCAAGGTGGGCCTCATGTACCTGCCCATGGCTGGCGGCTCCGTCGTGGCCGCCTTTCTCGTAGGGCCTTTGATCAACTGGAACTACCGCCGGCATTGCAAGCGTCTTGGGATTCCTTATGACAAGTCCCGTCAGCAAGACATGACTGGATTCCCCATTGAGAAAGCCCGCCTCGAAGTCGGTCTTCCGCTGCTGTATCTCAGCTCGATTCTGCTGCTCGTCTGGGGTTGGGCTCTGCACCTCCGCGCGCCCGTGGCTGTCCCATGCGTGCTGCTCTTTCTCTTCGGAGTCGGCATGATTGGGTTCAATAACACCACCAACACGCTCATCATCGATATTCATCCAGGCAAAGCCGGGACTGCGACGGCGGCGAATAACTTTACGAGGTGTCTGCTTGGTGCAGCTGCAACTGCGGCGATTATCCCCATGATTAATGGGATTGGCGTGGGCTGGGCCTTTACGCTTCTGGCTCTTCTCTACATTGTCTTCAGCCCGGCATTGCTGGCCATCATGTACTGGGGTGTGGAGTGGCGTCAGAACGCAAAAGACAAGGGGCTCAAGAAGGAGACGAAGAAGAGCGCATCATGAAATCGTGATACCAAGCAAACATGAATGTCGCGTGAATTGATACCCTTGTCTTGGACAGTTCTCTAGACCTACCCAAATCTAGCTATTTTTGACATGAAATATAATTACAGGAACATTGTCCAACATCGCAACGCCACATTATTCAAGTCGAGACTATTGCCGGTGTGGTTATCATGGCGGTCGAACCCCGCATCTGAGGCTAACTCGACTTGAACCACGCCCTTCCATCATGTCTGTCAAGTTGATTCTTATCGCTCAGCTGAAAAGGGAAGTGAGACCGGTAGCTCAAGTCCAGCTCCGCCCCTCACTGCCTCTTTATATCTCATCGTACTTCACCGAATACCTACTCCTTTACACTTGACATGGTGATGAATATCTCACATCACAATGAGTGAACCCCAACTCCAACCCACCGGGCCAGACCCCGCAACAAAGACCCTCACGGCCCGTTGCTACTGCAAAGCCGTCAACTTCACCCTCACCCTACCCACCACCTCCCTCCCCCTCAAAGTTCACCTCTGCCACTGCAGCATCTGCCGCTACACCCACGGGACCCTCTGCATCTTCCACGCCCCTCTCCCGTCCGGCGTATCCCCCTCCTTCATCGCCCCTTCATCGCTATCATCGTCTCTCACGGCCTACCGCCACGCGACGGCCTCGAGCACGCGGTACTTTTGCAGTACGTGTAGCTGCCACATCGGAGACGTGGGCATCGACGACGACGAGTGGGTTATCTCGACGGCCATCTTTGATGCGAATCAGGATGATGTACCCGCTGCCTGGGATATACGTACACACGTCAACACGGCTTCAGCGACCGGCGGGGGGCTATATGAATGGCTTCCGCGGGTGAATGGAAATGAAATAAACATCTGGAATCCCAAGACAGCCGGATCCGAAGCCGCAGCATCAACGACACACGGGCGAGAAGTCGGCGTAGACGGCGAAGAGGTCCTCCGCGCCCAATGCCACTGCGGCGGCGTCTCCTTTACAATCTCCCGCCCCCAGGCCTCCATGCTCGAAAATAAAGCCTACGAAGCCTGGGTTTCCCCCGTCGACGCCCGGAAATGGCCGGCCTGCGTCGACGCTTGTGACGACTGCCGTCTGCAAACGGGCGTCCACGCCATCGGATGGGTTTGTATCCCGGAATCCTGCATCACCCCTTCCGTGCCGGAGGACCTGCAACTCGGCGGGACGGGGAAGACGTTCAAGTCGTCTGAGAATGTGTGGCGGTCGTTTTGCGGGACGTGCGGCGCGAGTGCGATGGCGTACTTTGGGGTCAGCGGGAGGAGGCAGGAGAATGGAGAGAGGTTGGTAAATGTTGCTGCTGGGATTTTGAGAGCGCCTGAGGGTGTTTTGGCGGAGGAGTGGATTACGTGGAGGACGGGACGGGTTGCGTGGGCGGAGAGCGGGATGAGGTATGATGCTGGGTTGACGGAGGGGTTGGGGGAGGGGATGGCGACGTGGGGGAGGGAGAGGCATGGTGAGGCTTGGGAGTTCAATATCGGATGATGTTTGATTTGTCTACGACTCGTGGTTCTTGTATTCTGTCATCTCTCGTGGTTGGAGCCTGTGAAAGAACCATCCTACAAAGTTCTACGCAAGATGCCCATAGGTCTCCGTGACTCTATCCTTCTCCCGCTCCAGATACCTGTCCAAGGTTCCTAGAGGAACTCCCCAACTTCTTGTCCCTTCAATATCAGCAAATTGCTCCATATCACGCATAGCCAACTGTCCAGCCAAGAACGGATTCCCACCCTTCTGCGCCTCAACCTCCTCATCAGCCAGAAACACAGTCCTGATATCCTTCCCCGTAAACCTCGCAAGCTTCCCCGTAATCTCATCCGCAGTAAGCAGCTCCGATGCAAGCGAGATCTCCTCGGTGTGAAACTTGTCAGGATCTACGTACGCTGCCAACGCAAATTGTCCAATATCGTTCGGATCCACCGTCGGCAGCTTCGTCTCGGGCCTCAGAGCTGTGATGAAGCGACCCTTGTTGGCGAGGTCGGGGAACACTGCGGCGAGGGGCAGGATATAATTCGCCGTAAAGTTTCCCGGTCGTAGAATGGTTCAGTGCTCGAAGCCCACGTTCCGGACCTCATTCTCAATAGCCTGCTTCGAGAGAAGAACCACAGCGGTGAAGCTTTCGGGATCCCAGTACTTTAGCTTCTCGGGAGCATCTACCGAGAAGCTGCTGCTGTAGATAAAGTGAGTGGCGCCTGCCGTCTTGGCGGCAGCCATGATGCGCTTTGCAGTCTTGAGTTCCCAGTCATGGTCGACGAAGTCGGGCATCAGGTTCAGGAAGGCCCCCGTGACGCCTTTCATAGCTTTCTCGAGGGCACCTTCGTTGTCGTAGCCTCCTGGTGTGAGAGACGCGCCGAGGGAGGAGAGGGCTTTAGCAGCGGGAGAGCTTGGGTCACGGGCGAGGGCGTGGACGGCGATGCCGGCTCCAAGGAGGTTTCGTGCGACTGAGCCGCCTACTGTACCTGTTGCGCCGCTGACGAAGATTGTGTGTTGAGACATGGCTGGGTGGGTTTGAAGCTGGGTAAGGCAGTGTGATGATTTGAGCGAAATTGGAGGAACGACACGCTGTAAAATTCGATTGAGAAGTGCTATTTAGACGAGACTATTTGATCTATAGCAGGTTAGAAGAGTTCCCTCGAAGGCTTATATACTCACAAGATGATCAACTGAATCCCAGATGTTGAACATGTGTTTTTGAGGTCGTCACCCCAGCGCAGCTTACAGCACCATTGAAGGTCTCATCGCATCGCCAGGCTCCTTCCCAGAGACACGCGACCGACGGAGCGCCGCCAGCTTCGCATGATCATGTTGACCACATATTCGGCATGGTTGATTGGCTGTGACGATAGGTACTTTGGTGTTTCTTGCAGATGAGGACGTAGACAAAGAGAATGGAGGATGAAGGATGCGGTGGGAAATGTTGGCGGAATCCCGCCAGATTAAGTAAGCTCATAATTACTGGGCAGTGTTGACAGCGCCTCAACGAGTCCTCTCCAGCGCTCACTTTCAGTGCTTTGGCACTCATTCAAATCGTCTGGAAAGCTTCCTCGAGGATGGTGAAGCTATCGCCGAACCTTCACAGAAAGCCCAGTTTTCAGACAATCATTAAATGATAATTGAGAAAGACCGACGCGACCATTGAAGCCAACATGTCCAACTCGTTTTTCGAGAGGGCCAATCCACCGCCCCGGCGAAAGACGTGTATAGCTTGCATCAAAGCCAAGCGCAGATGCGACCATGGCCAGCCCGCATGTTTGCGGTGCTCGAGGCGGAATATCGCCTGCGACTACTCCGCTCCGCCAGCAACCAGCAGGTCGAAGGGGAATGCTGGTGATCTCGTCCTGCGAACCCCAAAGTCTCGGCGGCGGCAACAGCATCCAAGCAGCCCGACCCAAGTTCCCGCTCCCCTCCTCGATGACTGCGCTGGTTCCGACGCCTCTCTCATTCCATGGTCTCAGAATCCTGATCTTTTACCTTTAGACATGGGAGACCTGGAAGACGTCAATTTCGATCTAGCCTTTGACGAACTCATAACCACTGACGCCTTCTTCGAAGAGCCACTGATCGCTCCTTCCCTCACGCCCAAGCCAGACGAGATGCTCGTCCCATCTTATGACGCTCCCTCAGGCTCACTTCAAGCTTTGGTAGCCAGTCGTCTCCAATATTCCCTCGATGAAATTAAAAAGGTTCCGACCACAGTGGTGATGGAGAACCAGGCCCCGTGGAGCCATCCCTACCTGTACCGAGCCCAGATGCCCCGAGACATGCAAGGTGAGTACCTCACGCCACCCTCATCCCAAGTCCATTCTTCATGGAACAAATCTGACCGTGTGTTCGCCAGATGCTCAAGCCTGCTGCGCTCTCTACATAGCCAAGAGCTCAATCAACGCCTCGTTTGTACTACGCACCATCCAAGCCAGAGCCCACGAACTCCTGGCCTCCCCAATGCCCAAGAGTCGTCTCGACATCCTAGCCCGTCTCCACGCCATACTCCTCTATCAAATTATCCGCCTCTTCGACGGCGACATCTCCATGAGAGCATCCGCTCAACATACCCTCTCCTCTCTAGAACACACTATCCTCGCCCTGCTGCCATTCGTGAAATGGGAACGAGCACAGCCTACAACAGGCCCAGCGCAAGACTACTCTACCTGCCCGACCAAGGACTTTTGGCAAGAATGGATCTTTCAGGAGTCAGCCCGCCGTACTATATTCTTCACCTGTTTCTTCCTTGTTGCGTACAGTGTTCTCGTCGACACGCTCACAAACGGCTGTGAACAACGATACGTGTTTTGCCAGTCGTGGACCATGTCTGCTCATATTTGGAAGGCGCCTACCGTAGTTGACTTTGCTGTTGCTTGGAAGGAGAAGCATCACCTTGTTATTACGAAGCAGTGCTTTGAGGAGGCTCTTAGGGATGCTGCTGCTGATGATATTGACGCGTTTGGTAGGATACTCATGGTCGGCGCGATGGGTATCGAGGATGCTAGGCTGTGGTTTTACAACAGAGGTGGTTCTTTATGAGGACTCGATCGAGGCATCAGCAAACAACAGACATTTACCTCGTTGACTGTACATATTCCACAGGTGTCACATGTCTCACTTGTCATAGTATCACGAAGTAAAAGCAAGATCTGACTGATAACGAATTTGTTTTGTCTGGTGTCACTGCCTGTGGTGAAATCCCCTTGCTCTCCCCCGATATTACCTCCACCATCCGCAGACTCAGAATCCATGAAAAACCCCTTGTCAACGCCTAAAATGCAGCTAGAAACGATCCTTCAATAGAAAAGTAACTCTGTTGACCATGCCGATATCATCCACGGTAGCCTCATCCCAGGCCCAGAATGTGAAGTAATAAGCGGCTCGATCCTTCAATGGAAACGATTGCCAGTGGATCATGCCTGATCATGCCGATAAAAATCAATGTGGCCCCCCTTGGCCTTGAAAAAAGAGAAAGAAGAACAGAAAACAAGACATGCCCATCAATCCTCCACCCAGAGTAAGGTTCTCTTAACCAGCAGACCGTGAGGCGTAAGGAAAAAATCGGAACCATGTCTGAACCTCCAAGACCGAAACCCTGAGTCCAATGACATCTGAAGTATGTTGAAGTTGAGGAGTCACGTTTTTGAGAGAAGAAAAATAGCGAACAGCCCATGTGCATCAAGCTTCCACCCAGAGTAAGGTTCTCTTGACCAACAGATCGTAAGGCGAAGAAAAGATCGGAACCGTGTCTGAAAACCCAAGACCAGAATCCTGTGTTCGAGGCCCTCCGAAGTCTAGTGAAGTTGTATAGGTCGCGTCGTTGAAGAGAAAGAAAAAGCAAAACCGTATCTGTAATTTTTCCGAGCCAACGCCTGAAAGAGACCATCAGAGAGCTAAAATTCTCATGCTGTCCATGGACGATAAGGTACCGAGGAAGAAAGGAAGAAGACCGCGTCCGAAAACCTGTTGGTATTCTGGCTTTCACATGGAGTATGTGTTGACTGAGGTCGTATGCCGTATGCCGTATAGCCGCTGAGAAGTAAACGCAAACCACCGATTATGAAACCGTGCCTCGTGATTGATGTTCAGACCATTCTTGGTGTAGCCGAAGAACTCAATTCGTGGAGTCGAACAGCGCTGTCAGGACTAATACCCGCCGTTAATCTTGGCATAGTCTCTCCGCTGCTGTTTGCTGGGGATGTTCCTGAGGTCTTCAAGAGGCGTCTGGGGAAAACCACGCTGCAAAGTGAACTTGTGATAAATTCCGCCCTTGTCGTTGATGGCCTTGCTGTAACCGGTGACGTAGTAAAGCCCGTCATACCGGAGACCAACCTTAGGCGCGTAGGTGGAGTTTTGACTGCCCTTTTTGGCCTTGCGAAAGACGCGGACAGGAGTCTTCTTTTCCTTGGAAACCATGAGAGCTTTGTTTCCGCGGACGAGCTGCGCGCCGTCGGCCGGGGTATCGCGTGTCGTCTCCATAGAGTTGGTACCGCAGTACGTGATTGTCTCGCCTTGGTCGACGTCCATCGCGCCGTACTTGTCGGCCAAGATAATCGACGCGGCTGGTCCGATGTTGCCGTTCTTGTCTTTCGTGTACGAAATTCCCGCATTGGACTCTCCATGTCCCCCGAGATACATTGCGTTGAGCTGGCCGGGAACCCACTGGCCGACCTCCCAGCCGTTGTGGCCGAGTATCTTGGCGGGCCTTTTGAATTCAATGTAGGCAGGATTGAAGACACGGACCTTTCCTCCCTTTCGCAGGGCGATACCATGCATCATGCGGTTGACACCCCAGATAGGATGGTCGGCAGGGACCGGTTTGACGTCGTCGGCCTGTCTGTTTCGTTGGGAGCTGTTGCCGGTTGGTCTTGATGCGGTCGAGGAAGCCGGAACTGGAGGAGGCGGCATCTCGGGTATGGTCGGTTGAGGGGGCGGCAGCGGCTGGTTGACAACGGAACTGAGCCATTCGATGAGGTCGCGGGCTCTGGTTCTTGTCGGAGGCGAGAAGAAACGGAATCTCCTTCCAGCGGCGCCCTCGGGCGGGATCGTCGCCATCGTCACCAGGAGCCGCTTTACCATGTATCTCTGGTCGTACAGCTCCCCGGGCAGCTGGTCGGGGAAGCGCGACCGGGCCTCCTCGAGGAAGGATAAAAAGCCGCCCAGGAAGCGGCGAACATTTCCCACTTCAACAGTGGCAGTGGTGTTCGCTGGCCTTGCAGCCAGCGAAAGAAGGCTGCCGACCTTCCGCTCGAAGGCCCTGCTGTAGGCGGCTACGTCGCCGTAGCCGGGAGGTGTAGGAGGCAGGCCTGAGCCCACCCCCCCACCTCCACCTCCGAGACCACCACTGCCAGAACCAAGAGAAAGGCTCATGTTTCTTTTCACTGTTTATCGTAGTCAGCATCGTGGACGAATACGAGCGAGCGAGAGCGACCGCATGATGTGTTGCAGTGATGGGAATGATGGAAACAATGGAAGTGACAAAGGAGAGGACAATTGCAGTGACGAGCAATTGCAGTGATGAGCAATTGCAGGGATGAGGAATGATAGGAACACTCAAAGTGACAAAGGTGAGGGCAATTATAATAATGAGCAATTGCAGTGATGAGGAATGATAGAAACAATGGAAGTAACAAAGGAGAGGGCAATTGCAGTAATGAGGAATGATAGAAACAATGGAAGTAACAAAGGAGAGGGCAATTGCAGTGATGAGGAATGATAGAAATACTTAAAGGGATAAAGGTAAGGGCAATTCTAGTGATGAAGAATAATAAAAACAACGAAAGGGATAAAGGAGAGGGCAATTGCAGTGATGAAGAATGATAGAAACAATGAGAGGGATGGAGCAGACATCAGACATAGAGAGTTGCAGTAATAAAGAATAATAGAAATAATACAAGTAACAAAGTAGAGGGCAACATGAGTTACAGCGATAAAGAACGATAGAAACATTAAAAGTGGTGAAGGAGAGAGTGGTTATAATAAAAATAAAAGAAACAATTAAAGTAACAAAGGAGACAAACATACTATAGGAGACGAAAATAATAAGAGGGAAAAGACCAAGATGACGATGAGAAGGATAATAAGAAAAATGAAGACGATGAAGGTAACAAAGAGACAAACCCATCAAAGCAGGGAAGGACGAAAATGACAACAATAATGACAATGAGGAGTGGCTTTGGCATAGGGGATGTTGATCATGTCGATGATGCTGATAAGGGGAAGGTAATGCAAAGGAAGTCGATAAAGGAGAGGTTGGTGAAGGGGAGCATGATGAAGAAGACAAAAGCCACTTACAGGAGGGTGAATGCTGCTTGGTGTTTGGAGATGACTGCTTTTGTTGGTGTAGAGCAAAAGCAGTTGTTAGTTGAAGCTTGTGAAGTTGTGATGTGGACGAAAAAAAGAAGAGAAGAAAAAAAAGAAGAGGAAGGAAGAAAAAAAAGAAGAGGAAGAAAGAAAAGAAAGAAGAGAAGTTGACTTAGAGTGGAGATTAGAGAGGAAGACCAGCCTCGAGGTATCGAGGCATCAACCAAGTTGTGAGGAGACGAGAGCCTTAGGCCGGTGCACTCGGAAGTGGTGATTGACACGCCGGGCCTGGGAAGTGTGAATGTTCGGCCTCAGGGCCGTAAAGTGGAGCCGTTTCACCGAGTCCGCCCGGAAGTTAGGAAACGAACCCCCGATGATTCAGGCAGAAACGGGTCGGTCTTTCCTGCTGACTCAGGTTGATGGAAAGGCGGTCGGAGAGGTAGTCCGCGGAAATGGAATCAGCCAGGTTCTAGTGCAGATTATGGCACGTGTTGTGTCCCCGGCGACGTAGAGAGACCCGAGCCCTTGGATTCTCAGACTTGTTCTGGTACTTGTGGTGGGTTGTTGGTGATGAGTCAGGGCGCGCAACTTACCAACTATGTTCTGGCAATGGCGACCGATGCGCTCACGCAGAATAGGTCTTGGATTGAGACGAAGGTCTACTTCAGAGGCCTATCTCAAGGGAGGTATGTAATCCCGGCGAGGTCACAACTGAGATGAATCCCTTCGTAGGTCTCTCGAGGGTGGTCTTGTTATCAGCAATTTTAGGCTTTTGTGTGAATGACCTCTAGACGCCGTGACAGCTTAGTTGAAGTAGGTTTGTTATGGTAGCACTTCATAGGACGTTGCTCTTTTTGGGAGCATGTTGTCTTGTCCAGCTACTCTGATATTATATGCGATTCGCAATTGAGCTCTATTAGGATGCTACAACTGCGGAATCTAGCTGTTTCTGTGGTCGGCGGTTGCCTTCCAAGCCTTGTTTATGATATGTACTTGCAATATGCCTTTGTAGTATGTGTTTACTTGTTTGCAGCTTTTGTTTATGAAAGCGTATTCATGAATTGTGTTGATGTGACGTTCCTCTGCTCTTGACGTGACCGACTACAAATGCCAGGTCAATGATCCTCTTGTCTCCTGCTGAGATGGGATGACAGATTAGCAAGTGCTGTATGAGGAGATTAATTGCATGTATCTTGAGACGATCAAATCAATACTTGATCTACTCTTTTCTAAGTGACAATCAATAAGCGGTGGCCTCTGTGTGACTGAGGTATTATGGGGGGGGGGGGGGAGGCAAGGTTGTGAATCGGGACAAAGAGGTATGTGTGGACGGATGTTGGGCCTTTATACTTCTCAGACAGACACCGGGACTACGTCGCAAATGCGCACTAACACAAAGGACATGTTGCATTTTGGAAGAAAATGGCAGGGATCATACCATCAAGCGGTGAAGAGTTAGAGGATTTGAATAAAGTTTTTAAAAAAGTTACAATTGTAATTCTAAAGTTTTCCGGAAATCCTTAGGTAGTATATTATGTGAGCGTGCGCGCGCCAGGTTATGTAAGCTAGAGAGACAGTACGTAGAGAATGAGTACCACCCTTCCACGTAATTCTAAACTTTTACTTTTCAAGATTTACTCGACTGTTTCGTGACTGGTAGCTGAGGCCTAGCAAGGATATTGCAGACATGCAGCCAATCGAAACGCAGTTGACTATCACTCTCGGACTGCGCAATGCGACGTGCCCCTCAGTCAAGCTAACAAACAAAGGAACTTGACTGGGATCAAGTCTAAAGTTACAAATTACTTAAAGAAGTAAAAAGTAATTCTATAATTTTGGTTGGTTGGGTGGGTCATACACCAAATGGGACTTTCGCAAGTGGGCTTCACGTCTACTCTGTTGTGCTATGTCTTGTTCTCAATTCCTATGCTGCATGCCTCTGAATGAAAGAAAATAATGCTAGGTCCTGGGACAGCATATCGCTCGATTGAACGACTGTAGCTAGCAATGAGGCAGGTGCCCTGCACCCCGAGGAAGTGCCTGCCCTCGTCGCAGTGATGTTGGCCCAAGGGTATTGACAATTACGAGTGGAAGAAGTCCTAGATCCCTGTTCAACTCGACTATGTGATTTGAAAGGCCTTGCCCATGGATCTATTAAGAACAAGAGAAACATTGATCAAATATATACTCCGTAGAAGCCCATAGAAAATAAACCCCCTCCCCGCCTGGCACCTGATCTGATACTGGCTACTGTGCCACACCGGTCCTACCGAAGCCTGTTTACGAAGACGCCCGACCAGCAAGTGAAGTATTACGGCTTGGCTGCTCTAGCACGAATGAGCAACAGGCTTGGCCAGGATCCTTCCTTCGATTGGCGCATCTGCCATCGCACACGAACGCCGGAGTTTCGTGCCAGTTCCCGGACGGCGAAATTGAGCGTCAGCAGATGCTGGCGGCAGAATGTGCAGCTTCTCGAATGAAATAGGTTGACTTGGTCAGGCGCAGTTATGCTTTTGGTATTTTGACTACATAACTGGGCGCAAAAGCAGCATACTCGATATCCTCTCTTGGGTTTGCGACAATTTGCTACTTCCAAATTCAAAGATCCTAGCTAACGAGATCTGCGCGCAGCGACTCTCCTCAACCATGGCTAGCAACCAAGCGTCTCACACCGATCCCAAAGATTACAGCCCCTCCGTCTTCAGCCAAGACACCCTCGTCGCCTCCGACACCAACTCCCTGCACCCGCTCATCCGCAACGCCGAAAGCAACACCGACCAACCCCTCCGAGGCACCGAGCCCCAGCCCGCTCGGTCCGACAACTACCACTACGTCTCTACGCGCGTCGTCAAGGAAATACCCAAGGCCAAGACGCCTGCCGACCCGAATAGCGCCTTGAGCAAGTTCAAGAGGATGCTGAAACCTCCTGCTGTGAGGGCAGTTGAGGCCCTGCCTACCCATGAAGGGAAGTCGTATCACGTTGACGAGGAGGGACGGATTATTGAGACTACGGCTCGGAGAGCAGGTGAGTGTTGCGAAGTGTTGTTTGGCGTTGTCGCTTGCGCTGCGCTAACATAGTGGTCCCACAGGTACATCGCGGAACGTCTTTGCTAATGGCGATGCTGGTGGTGGCGGGGGATCCTAAAGTTGACTTTAGGAGCAGACGGAACGTAATTTCACAGGCTAAGCGAACTGGAGAACGTCGACATTTGAACGATGCAATTTATTCTGCTTGGTATCTAGAACTTTGAAGTAAATGCCCAACTATAGGCTTTTCCGTGCCTTCCATAAATCTAAGCAAGCCAGAACCAGATCTTTTGCAGAAGGTTCTTCGGGATAGGCTCCTCATCAAGCTCCGCCATGGCCTCCATCTCCGGAACGCCAGTCAAGACATCTACATCAGCGATGTTGCGCGCCATCGGCGTGCGGAACCAGATCTTGTGGCCAATGTACAGCACGAAGAAGATGGGCAGAGTAATGTACGCTGCCAAGAAGTCCGAGACGCTCCAGTGACCAGGGAAGAAGACCTGGAAGCCGTTGGTGAGGGTAAGGATGACGAGGAGGCCGAGAATGAACCAGGTAAAGTAGGGCTGGAGGGGCGTCTTGAAGGGCAGGCGATGCATCATGTTGTGGTAGATCATGGCCTTGCGGAAGCGGAGGTAGGTGATCATGACGACGATCCAGGCGATGAAGCCGGAAATGGTGCTAATGTTCATGAACCAGGTGAAGACGGTTGATGTTCCGCTGCTGACGGTGAGGTAGGAGAGCAAAGCAATCGACCAGGTGCCGAGGACGGCGGTGTAGGGAACACCGCGCTTGGTTGTCCGGGCAAAGAAGCGAGGGGCCTGCTTGTTGAGGGCCAAGCTGTAGAGGATACGGCTGCCAGAGTACAGAAAGGCATTGCCAGCACTCCATGCACTGGTGAGAATCGCGGCGTTGATGACGTGGTTCAGGCCGCCGATGCCAGCGCGCTGGATGCCGATAACCCACGGGGAGGCAGCGGCGTTGGAGTCGGGGCTGAGGAGTCTCTCGTCGTTGGAAGGGGTGATGGCGCCAATCATGAGGGATCCGAGGCCGTAGAAGATGGCCAGACGCCAGACGAATCGGCGAGCGGCCTTGGGGATGTTGCGGCGAGGGGCAACGGTCTCACCGGCCGCGAGGGCGATCAGCTCGGGGGAGGTGATGAAGGCGAACCCGGCGCGGACGAAACCTGTCCAGTAGGCCAAGAACTTTCCAGTGTTTCCGCCTACAAGGTATGGTGTAATTGCGCCTGGGTCGTACCAGTAGAGGAAGCCGATGCGACCTTCGTCGGGGGCACCGCCGAGAATGATGACGAAGCTCACCATGATGAGACCCAAGATGGTGATGAGCTTGATACTCGCGAACCAGAACTCGGCCTCGCCAAAGACTTCGACAGCGAAAATGTTGAGAGCGAGAGTGACGAGCAGGATGATTGTGATCCAAACGGCCGATGGTACGGGTGTTTTCCAGTAGTCGAGAAGGATTGCGCCGGCCGAGGCCTCGGCGCCAACGAGCATGGCGTATGCGTACCAGTAGTTCCAACCGGCAGCGAAAGCCAAACTGGGCTCGACGAAGCGTTCGACAAAGTAGGGAATCGAGATTCCCTTGAGCGGGAGGTAGGTGGCCATCTCTCCGAGATTGTTCATGATGTTCCACACGACAATCATCATGGAGAGGTATCCCATGAACAGCGGCGCGGGGCCAACTGCTGAGAGGATACTGCCTGAGCCGACGAAGAGACCGGTTCCGATGCTGTAGGTAACTGTCAGCTTGCGTCCACTTCAACCCAATTAAAGGTGCGCATAAAGGCGGGAAACGTACGCGCCACCCAGTGCCAGGAACTGAATGTGTCGGCTCTTCAAGCCACGCGAAAGCTGGTCATGCGAGTTGACCAGGTCGTTGGGATCGCTGAGTGCGGCGAAGTTGACGTCGCGGGGGTAGGACTCCCCATTGTGCTTGGACTCGACGTCGGTCAAGGGACCGCCGCCTCTGTAATCTTTGTCCGCAGTCTCCATTGTCGAATCGTAGTTGTAATCTACCGAGCTCGACTTTGGTTTGGGCGAAGAAAAGAAAAAAGCAGAAGAGCAGTCGAGGGGGAGAGAGTATGCGACGTGGGCGGGCGGGTAGCAATGGTATATTAATACGGCAACTTTTTTTTCTCTGGTCGCAGACAAGGCTTGTCGGTGGGCGTCCCCGGCGCAACCACGGAACGATTCTAGAACGCGAAGAGTTGAACGACGCGAACAAAGGGCCAAGCTTCTGGCAGAGGAGGGGAATGGCTGCAGTATTATGGAGTCGGGGCGATGGGCAGCATGGCGAAAGCTTCCCGTCTGTCGTGAGACGGGCAGCTTACACTTGTACGTGGGCCTCGAACTTGACCAAGCAACGGAAGCTGCCTCCGTTGGTTTCTAACCCATTGTTTTCTGCCCGCGCTCCCACGCTGATGAGACAACCCTTGTGGACGATGAGTCGGTGTTGCTGGGCATGCCGACGTGACGTATTGATGGTACGCTGTGTACTCCTCTGCGGCGTGGGTAATATTCGACAGACTGACTCTGCGTGTCTGCGTGTATGCCATGGCGCGGGCAACAACTGCTGAACCCTTGTTGGATGTTGTTTGGAGGCGAAAGGCGCAAAGGGCTTCTCGGCACTGACTGGTGCAGAAGGCGGGCAGATCCAGTCATGGGGAAGAGCTAAGCCAAAAGCAGAAACCTAGCAGTCCATCAGCTGTTTCTGTGTGGTAACGTTTTCATGGCGAACCCATGGGGTAAACTCGGACGGAAGGCTTATCTACTTGGCAGTCCACACGACATCCACACTCGGCCACACATTCGGGCACACCGTATTGATAAGAGGCTAACGTCCGAGGATGGCGCATGTTGATTACTGGAATGAATTGCTGAGAGACTTGAGACCGTGAGGAAAACAGGTAGTGAAAGTGGTTGCAGTTGTCACCGAGAAAATCTGCGGCCAAATTGGAGGCTCAGGCAGAAGGAATTGGGGGAACCTCAGGACTGGGGAATTGGAGGCAGCAGTACGTACCTCCCGGAACAACTGCAAACATTCAAGCCGCGGCTTACCTAAGACCAGCCCGGTACTTACATCTGTACCCTACCTTACTCCGTACGAAGTACTTGGGCAGAAGACCCCGTATCACGTGGCTGCATCTCAGATGCCACGGCCCACGACGGGGTAAACACCGATGGTACCCGCCCTCATACCAAACTATCACGTAAATTTTTCGTCTTTTTCTCCAGAGTCCCTTGAATTTGGGAATTTTGGGCGGCACAAGCACTCGCCAAATCCCATCAAATCGCGCAAAATTCCCAGTTGCAGTGTGTCACCATCCTCGGCCTGGCCTCTCGGTCCTGGGGAAGCCTGTCAGGTGTCTGATTGGATGTTGGGAAACTTGCTCCGAAAGACGTCTCTAAACACCGATGTCGATGTTCACCAAACACCTGAATCGCTATGTCGTAATACGGAGACTTTGCATCTAAGTCTGTCGCGTTCCTGGAGCTGCCTTGTGCCGAGCCGCGCTCTCGATAAGGATCGCCTGACCAGCACGCAATAACTCAGACATCCACTTTCAGGAAGCCCAAGTTTGAAGACAATGTTTTTGGGAGGCAGACTTCTGTACCGCCGCGGTTGATACGAGACAAATCCTATTGTGAGAATCCTGCTGTCGGCGTTCGCGAACACTACTCAGCTTTGTCATTTCTTCAGAACAAGGGACTTGCAAAGCTTATCAGCCGTGACCGGGGAGCTGGAAAGGGTAATTGATACCGTCCATCTCCAATTCTACCAGTCCCCGTTGTTTGGTACCCTTGATACGGACCGGTGGAGGTTCAAAGTTGCCGTTTCCCCCGCATCCAGCATGCCGGCCAAGAGAAACGGAATACTGATCCGACGCCAGCTCTTTTCACTAGTGCCTTGTCGGTCACCCATCCCGATCCCGATCCCGACTTATAAGTTTCTTTAGCTGACAGGCGGCTCAACGTCGTCGTTCTTGGCCGCTCGCTCAGAGATACGAAATATCACCGTGATCATGCTTGACTCAAACGTTTTAGTCTAGGTGTCAAACCTGCGTCACCACCATGATAACGACGACGCGAACCCCGTCTAGGTTTCCACATGTCCGTTGCGCCTTGTTTGCGCCCTTTAATCACACGTCCCCCACGAGAAAGCACGCCACTTTGCGCGCCTGGGTCCGGAGCCCCGGATTCCAAAGGCAAGCACGAGACTTATGTCGGCCAAACCATACTGGCGGCGGATCCCATAGCAATACAGAAAGTTGGGGAGACGAGATCCAACCTGTCAATTTCAATTTCCATTACGTTTTGGCTGCAAAAGCTATCGATCCTCTCTCCCCCCATACCCACATTCGTCCGCCCATTTCTTGACACGACTATTACTCCTCGAATATACGAACTCTCTTGACCCCCGAGCATCAAACGCAATCCCATCTCAGTATACAAGTTTCAAAGAGCAAGCAAAGCTATGGCACCGGCGGCCATAGCCTGAAGGATCGAGCCACCGTGGGTGTTCGCTCCGTTCACCGTGACCGGAGGCGGGCGAGCCGTGGTGCTGTTGGCAGTGATAGTCGGCAGTACAGCAGCCGTCGTCGAGTGAGAAGAAATAACCGGAGTGGCTGGAAGAGACGTAGTCGGCTCAGCCACAAGAGAAGTCTCTGTCGAGGTGCTCTCAATCTCGGAAGTGAGGGTGAAGGTCGCGGTGGACGTCGAGGCCAAGAAGGACGTGGAAGTCTCCTCGTCCGGAACCGACTCCGTGAAGAAAAGGGTGGACGTCACCGTCGAGCCGGGTTCCGTGTTGACACCGCCGGGCCCGACGCATCGCTTGCCGATCGGGCAGCACGCATACTGGCCGTTATTGCCGAGCCAACACGTGGATGTCAAGGGGCAACCGCCCTGCTGGTCTGGGCAGCAGGTGTACGTCAGGGGAATGCAACCGTCGCCGCAGTCCTTGCGACCTGACTCGCTGCAAGGAATCTCTACTATCTGTCGCTTCAGAGGAGAGAAGGCCTCGTCGGCGAGAGCCAAGGCTGGAAGAGCCAGAACAAGAAGTTTCTTGAGCTGAAGCATGATTGCTACGAAAGCGAGTGTGCTGAAACGAGAGTGAAGGGTTGCTGATGAAGGTTGATCTGCTGAGTATCCGGGTTGACCTGATATTCCCTTCTACGTTCTCTTGGAACTCTCGTCCTTAAGTATACGGCGCACAACGTAAGGCTGTGATATTGGGCCCTGTGCAACTGCTCCTCGGAGATGCAGCATTTCAGCTGCCACACTGAACGGAGATGAACAGCCAGCAGTTAGGTGGTGGCGTCCAATTGAAGGTATCACAACGGTGCCACACAGCAAACTGCATCTTTCTGTTCCTGCAGCTAAAGTAGCCCGTAATGTCAGAGTCGCTTCCCAAGTGGCCGTTGAGCAAAGTTAGAGGAGGTGATGGTGGCGTCGGGGAACTAGGGTCTGGGGTTAAGCAATTGCTTATTTTGAGGGCTCAGCTTCTCGTGGCGGCAGGTAAGCACGGGGAGGAGTTACCCCGCTCGTCTCGATAACCACGATCTCTCAGTAACCACGATCTCTCAGTAACCACGATCTCTCAGGCTGGGCTGATTCGAGGAACACGATCAACCAGACACTCTGAACCCAGACACGATCACCCTGGGCTAGGCTTGTTTCCAGGAGTCTGTCACTCTATCTGCCTGTCAAACCGCTGCTAGCACTGCAGGCAGGACTTAGCTCCTGTTGATTATGCATTGTTGCGGCAGGCTGTGTACATGGTATCGTGCTGCCGAATCAACTTTAAGCTTGTTTTTCAGCTGTCGGCAGCTAACTTTGTTTTAATTTGACTACGGCGAGTGGCTTGCAACGTCGTTGTGACGTTGTCATAGTAGCCTAGATTTCCCTCCAATTGGCAGTGCCAAGTGATGCTTTCTCAATCCCTCTTCTCGTCCTGTAAAGCTCAGCTCATAAGGGAAAGGTAATCGTTTGTTCTTTGGCCGATACAATTTGGGATGAGATGGTCTCTCGATGTTTATCGAGCTTGCGATCATTGCCCAAGCATCGTGCGTGACTCTATCGGATATCGATTGGTTCAAAGAGCCACTCCACTCGTTTTTGGGTCTCGGAATGAAATTTACTGTCCCTACATCCTCGTGAATGCAGGTCATTAAACTGTCTCCTATTCACAGCGCCCTACCCGCTAGCCCACACATGCGGGCGTTGTGGCACAAATCTCGGACCAGGTACACCCACTCGACCTCGGCCACCTGCACAAGCAAACTCGAACGGCCAATGAGATACCGGGGTCGATCAAACAAGTAAATGAGGCCGTCGCGAAAGACATCCATGGTCATTAGGCAAAGCTGCGAGAGATCTTCCATTGGTGATAGGCCCCTGACTCTGACGTGCCTTAGGTTGAAGTTAGCCTCGACTTAACGGGCGTTCGTGTTCGACTAGCTCTGCGTCGTACTTTGGCTGGAAGTTCCAATTTTATTGCAGGATTGATGGCAGTGAATCCTTCTTAGGCTTTGTCTTCATGTTGCGTGCTGCACTTCTGCAGATTTCGATCGCAGATGACTGTCAACAAACTTCTCGTTCGTATCATCCACCAGCGAAAGCTACAACCAACAGCGTCAGCACTAGACGAGGGCTGAGAGTAGTATATCTTGCAAGCGAACCGAATTCTTTTTTTCTGAAGACGACCAAGGCCAGGCGTTCTCTCTAGAATCATATTGGCCGAAACAATGAATAAGGCAAATAGGACGCGAAGATGAGGAGGATGTGAAACAGAAGTTAGAATGGCTTCGTAAGGCAAATTGTACCAGTTGAAAGTTAATATTGCGCTCTGCTCCGATACCCAACAGGGCATATCTTTGGCGAATGAGGGATAAAAAATGCAATACAGTCTGACCAAGTGCTGTATCTTCCAAACTAATGCAGTCTGTCAATTTCCACATTTGCTGGTTATGGCCAATGTCTGCTTGACATGTCCATGCCAACATCTTCTTAGCCTGCACTGAATGGCACAAAGGAAGAGTTACAGTTGATACTGGCGAAAGAAAGAGATCGTCATATTCTATCACTTGATGTTGAATAGAGAGAACAGGATACTCTCTCTCCGAACTAAGAGCGGCGGGCCTCGGATGTGGAGTCCCGGCGAATCTGAACTCGGCGCCGGATCCGCAAGCCGAACGTTTCCAGATTCGGAAATTCGGCACGGTCCGCCCTAGCAGCGCACTAATGACGTCTTTGCCGCTCACCAAACCCCATTCCTCTTTTTCCTCACTTCACTTCTCACGCGAAACATCTGCAGATATCCCACGCCCGGCCGCTACTTTTACAATCGCCAAGACTCTAATTGTTGTGCCGATCAAGCCTGCAAGCTTTACCCTGCACCATCTCACCATGTCCGGAGCCAGAGCCGTCGTCAAGACGCTAGATCACCTCGTGCTCACCTGCGCAAGCGTCCCAAAGACGGTCCAGTGGTACACAAATTATCTCGGAATGAAGGCGGAAACATTCACGTCACCTTTGGAACCATCCGTCCAGAGGCATGCACTGAAGTTTGGCACGCACAAGATCAATCTGCACCAGCAGGGCAAGGAGTTCGAGCCAAAGGCCAAGACCGCGCTGCCTGGCACGGCTGATCTCTGTTTTTTGGTGGAGGATGGCACGAACCTTGAAGAGCTGATTAAGGGGTTCCAAGGGGATGGAGTTCAGGTTCTCGAGGGTGAGAAAGTCGTTGCGCGGACGGGCGCCCAGGGTCCTATCCAGAGCGTTTATGTGAGGGATCCCGACGGAAACTTGATTGAGTAAGTACTTCTCAGCGTTGAATATCGCTGGTACCTAACGGGAAAGAACTAACACCGGTATCTACAGGCTCTCCCATTATAAGTCATAAGTGCCGACTAACTACGCCGTTTGCGTTCTCCCTGCAAATCTGTAGACGATGGGTCGAGGAAATCTCAATATTACATTGCTAATACTGAAAATAATGAAGGACTTCGCAGAACAGTGATCACTCGCTAGTACTTTCTTGGTCGTTCTTCGTCACCTTTCGCTTCTCAACGTATCTGATGAGGAAAATACTCGAAAGCTTCAAAACGCTCACTCCACACACGACAGAGAATCCCATGTGGAAGGAGGGCGCGTATTTATCCACATCTAGGATCACCACTGCAACAACCAGCATCTCTGGAAGATGTCGAGGAGAAGACAATTACCTACCAGGGACCCATGCGATGAAGGCCTGGCCTAGAGTCTCTGCGACTCCGATGACGATTGCGCGCTCCTCCATGTTTTTGTGCATGATCTCAATCGCCCACGCCTAGACAAAATCAGGAACAAGTTAGGAAAACGGCAGAGAAAGAGGGCTCACATAAAGTACTGGCCAGAAGCCCCAAGAAGCGGCGTTAATAACATATACAACAAAGATCAACGCGTAGCTGGAATCGACTGTTACCATGGTCATACAGATGAGGTTGATAGTATGCATTTCATCAGCGAAGTCAGATGTCCGAGATTGCGTGTACTAAAGGCTGAGATCAGCAGAACCTGCCACCTCTTTCCCAGTCCATCAGAGACCTAAGCATACAGCAGAGTAGTCACAAGGCCGACCGCTTGTGCTGCAGTGGGGAAAAGTTTGATTTGGTATACCGTGAAACGGTTCAAGGACTTGAGCTAGACAGAAAAGTAGTTGAAGGGCTGCATGACAACACAATGGCAACTGAACTCTACGTCAGTATCCTCTGTAGAGGGAGCCACACATACAGGACAGAAAGCTTAGACCAAGGCGAAGCTGAAGAAGTAGATGGGCCAGTTGGTGAATATCGCTGAGACCCTAGCTTTCATCAAAGGCCTAGGTTTGCGCCGGTCGATGGCTTCCATCCGCGCTATGTGCTTTGATTGCTCACCTGTACGCTTCCAGAGGGCCTTTGTAATATGAGGGTTGTCAGGGACGGCGAAGCATCCCCAGATGGGAGCCCAGATCGAGATTATGCCACAGAAAATGAACAACCACTGCCAGCCTGGGAGACCGCCGGCTCCATTAAGACCCTTACAAATTGCGACCAAGGGATATCCGCTGAATATGCTGGCAGCATAGCTGGCCAAGTAGAAAATTGAGATCCGTTTGGAAAGCTCTGCGGGACGAGCTCAGAGCACAGATATCAGTTCTTTGCGATATGACAGCTCTTACCTCGCGGGGTATACCAACTCCCCATGATGGTTAGAACGCCGAAAATGAAGGGGCTTTCAAGAACTCCAAGCAGGAACCTCATTGCTAAGACCTGACGAACGTCCTTGACTGCGGCAAAACAAAGGGTGACAAACAGTCCAAAAGAAGCTCGGCCATGGGGAGGTAAATTGAAGGGCGAATTGGCAGCCATTAGCTTGTTTGTTTGAAGATGAAAATAGATCGCGCTGCGAGTGAGCAGGGATTGCGAAGGAACTTGGCCGACTAGATACCCGCAAGTGAAGAATGTTTGCAGCAGGTACTTATTGCCTCGAAAGTCTAGGTACTCTTTCATACCACTGACATACGCATTCGCTATCAATGGTAGGGAATTTGTTTGCTCCACTAGGATCAAGATTATGGTCCTTACTTATGTTACTTGAGTCAAGTAGTCTGACGAAATACCCAAAAGTCGCCCAGCTTCTATTGTAACGTCGTCAGTCCAGCTTCGAGGCCAAAGTTGGAATTAAATTGTACGCTGCAGCACAAAGAAGTCGAGGCGTTGTATAAGGCTATGTTCTTCTTTCGTTCGAGGACCGTCCCATATAACACCTCTCATGAGGTCCCATTTCGATGACGAGGGTTTCTGAGGCCCAAGAATCTCACCATAATCTCCTTTTGATCCATTTTTGGAGTCCACGACAATCAGAATTGTTGCGTGGGTAGTTGTAGAAGCACGTTGACTGCCAGAGGGAAATAGGCAAGAATGATGCATCAGGAAAAGGGGGGGGGGGGCTTCAGAACCCCTTTGAGTTCCCAATGATTGGAGCGAGGTCGGAGGAGCCCAATCTCGGCCTGTTACCGAGTCTCTGGAACTGATGCAAGATTAGAAAAAATGACAACATAACATGTCAAGTGGGCTTTACATTATTAATTGGAGCCAGTTTCTGGGTTTTGTGCAGTTTTTGGTAGTGGAATCTAGACGATTTTAAAGCCCAGCCTGTTTCCCTCTTTGGTTACTCATTGTGCCGCTATTCATATTTGTACCGACTTCCAAAGTGGTCGTTGCGTAGGTGTCTCTGATCAGCACCGTAAATTCTCTCACGCAACGTGATACCATCTCCCAAGAGTCCGTCGTGCCCGTACAGTCCTCTTCGACGGAGCTCAGGGACCAATAAATCTACCAAATCTTCAAAGCTCCCAGGGCTTGTGACGTGCCCGACGTTGAAACCATCCAAGTCTGCAATTCTTACCCACTCCTCCAGGAAATCGGCGACACGGGCTGCTGATCCAACAGGCACAGGCCCGTTCCCGCCGATTGCCATTGCCTTTCCAATGTTGCGAGCCGTCCACGATGGAATGTCATTGCCACGATATTTGAGACTGCTGACCAGCGAGTGTACCCGCCCGTCAATATTTGCATCATCTGGTCTAATCTCGGCATCGAGGTCATATTTGGCAAGGTCTATTCCAGCATTGCCTGAAAAGAATGCAAGACCGGCCTCAAAGCTTGCATATTCCAAGGCTTTGCGGTATTTCGCCTTAGCTTCTTCATCTGCCCTGCCGATAATTGGAGTAATGACGGCGAAGATCTTAACACTACGAGGATCACGACCAGACTCAGCAGCTTTATGACGGATGGCGGCTACGCGCGGCGCCAAAATGTGAGGTGAAAGCCCCGATATCATGATACCTTCAGCATGCTTGGCAGCAAAATCTATACCGGCGCTGTGGGATTGTTAGTTGTTCCTAACTTGTGTTTGCTATGAGTTTTGTACCTACGGCGACGTCCCTGCTTGAAGCAGAAACGGAGTTCTTTGAGGAGAAGGATGCAAAATGTGAGGGGCATCTACGTTGAATCTTGCCGTGTGATGCTTGATCCAACGTATGCGACTGGGATCAGCATAAGTGTTGCTTGTTGCCTCCTTTTTGAGAGCGTCATCTGCCCATGAGCTTTCCCAAATTCTGATACCTTAGTCATAAGTCTTTATAGACAGTCATTGGATTTACTCACTTGTAGAGCAACTCCATGTATTCATCAGCAGCGGCGTATCTTTCATCGTGTTCAACATAAGGCACACCGACCTGTTGAGCCTTAGCCATGTGCTTGAAATGCTTGAAAGAGGAGTCTAACGTACGGCTTTAGCAGCGGATTCCTTGAAAGAAGTGACAATATTCCAGCCAAAACGGCCTTTCGTAAGATGGTCGAGGGTTGAGAATCTTTTGGCGATGACAAATGGTGCCTCATAACTCGTACTGGTTGTGACGATGAATCCAAGCTTCTTCGTCACAGCTGCCATCGCTGTCACCGGCTGCTCTTAGTGTTAATGTATGGTAGCCGACAAAACCATCAAATTCGTTGCTTACTATAACAGGATCACCCATGGGGAACTGGCAACTCGTTCGTATCGTCGGTTCGGCGCTTCCCTTGTAAACATCGTGCTGACCAAAGGTATCGGCCAATATCAATGCGTTAATGTTTCCTTGTTCAAGTGTCTGCGCGAGATTGGTCCAGTAATTGAGATCCCCAAACTTGTCGGCGACTTCATCTTTACCCCTGCGCCACTGGCCGAAGCATAGGTGGCTCGGGCTGAACATGTCAAATGCATTGAGGATGATTTGCCGCTTAGCGGAAGGGTCCATGTTGGCGGGGCAAATTTGTGCTGCGTTGAGCCAAGCTCAATGGAGGAAATGTGCCGGTCCTGCGTTTGGTATCATCGGCGAAAGAAAGCATGTTCTCATTGATAAAGTATTGCCTACTTCAGTCTTGGAGAATCACGCAATCATCCTGAAGCCGATTTCGGCTTTGAGTCAGGATTATTGAGTCTTGCAATTTCTTACCAGAAATCCGGACAGAACCGGGATTTAGCAGATTCGCAAGCTAAGTTGTGTATGGCGTATTAAACAGTCGACTCATCCCTGATTGCAAGCTTGTATTGAACCAATGGAGTTCTGCTTCCCCTCAAAAGACCTCCGAGGGGAACTTCTTGCCGGGTGACTTCAGATGCACAATCCCATGGCTTCGAGAACAGGGGTCATTTGCAAGCAACAGTGATAGTTGCGCCATCTATGGAATTGTGTATGCTCATACGCTAGTAGTCGACATCATCGAAGATAGAAACTGAATATCTTTCCGGCACGACGTAGACTAATTGGAATTCGGTAGAGTCAAGCAAATTTGTGGTTTTTCGTTAGAGTTATCAACCATGGCGCCAGGCGCGATACTAGACCCGTCTACTGGTGCCACAAATTCCCTTTTGGCGGCTGACAATGACATTCTGCGAACCATCAGACCTCACTATCTGATAGAAGAGCATCCAATTGACGAACACCAAACTGTTCGAGCCATTGTCGTGGGTGCCGGCATCTCTGGCATCACCGCTGGCATTTTACTCCCCGCAAAGGTTCCCAACCTGGATCTCGTAGTCTACGAAAGAAACAAAGATCTTGTGAGTCAAAGGAGAAGGATACTTCAAAGCAATAATTGCTGATACTTGAGTTCATGAAGGGAGGTGTCTGGTATAACAACGTCTACCCAGGTGTTCGGTGCGATGTGCCCGCCCACGCCTACCAGGCTACGTTTGCTCCATCAACAGATTGGACTGAGGCGTATGCCACTGGCTCCGAGATTCAATCTTACTGGCAAGGCGTAGCGGAAAGGTTCGACGTGCGGAAGTACATTCACTTCAAGCACAGCGTTTCCTCTGCGGAATGGTCTGAGGAAAAAGCCAAATGGGTTGTCCAGATACAGACAGACGACGGTGTAATTACTGACGAGGCCAACTTCCTGATTACTGCCACGGGTCACTTCAGCGACCCAAAACTTCCACAGTATCCTGGCATCGACAAGTTCAAGGGGCACTTGCGGCATACCTCCAATTGGGATCCCAAGTTTGATGCAAAGGGGAAGCGGATCGCAGTCATTGGGAACGGCGCTTCCGGACTACAAGTACTCCCTCAATTGCAGAAGGTGGCTACTAGCATCGACCATTACGCTCGCAACAAAACTTGGGTCGCAGCTCCGATCGGCGGGGAAGACTTGGCAGACTTTGTCGTAAACAATATCGAAGACGCGCGATCAGACCCCGAGAAGTATCTCAGCTTTCGCAAAGCCCTGGAGGGGAAGCTTTTCAGTCGCTTCGGAGGTATCTTCAAGGACGGCCCTCAGAATGCAGCGGCTGAAAATTATATCAAAGAACTTATGAGAGCGCGGCTAGGAGCTAATTCCGAGCTTGCTGATGAGATTATACCTGAGTTTCCAGTAGGCTGTCGGCGACTGACGCCCGGACCCGGCTATCTCGAGGCGCTGAATGCGGAGAACGTCAACTACATTACCGACAGAATCTTAGAGTTCACTGAAACCGGGATTCGGACTGTGGATGGTGCGTTATTACCAGCTAATCGTGACAACTTCTTTGGCTGATTCAGTTAGGCGCTCTTCGTGACGTTGATGCTGTGATTTGCAGTACAGGTCACGACATCACATTCAGCACCCAGTTCCCCGTTGTCTACAAGGGACTTGACCTTCAAAAGGCTTGGAGGCCTGGCGGAGAACCGGGATTCCCAGACACCTATCTAGGGATGCTTGCCCCAGAGGTTCCAAACTTCATTACAGTACTGGGACCAAATGCCACTGGACCAGCAGGAACGCTGTGTCATGCGGTCGAGAACCAGCTCACATACGTTGCCAAAATACTTCGCAAATTTACAACCCAAGGTTTACGGACCATAGCTCCGTCAACAGCTGCGACCCGTGATTTCCGAGCCTATACTGAAGCCTTCTTTCCTCGCACTGTCATGAGTGAGCACTGCAGCTCCTGGTACAATGGCGGGATCAAGGGAGGGAGGATTCATGGTCTCTGGCCCGGCAGTGCTGCTCATGTTGACCTGGTTCGGAAGGATCCGAGATGGGAGGACTTTGAGTACACCTATCAGAACCCCCAAGGAAACAGGTTTGGGTGGCTAGGAAATGGCTGGACCAAGAAAGATGTTGCGGCTGCTCATGGCGAGACTGATGTGGAATTAGATCTGACTCCTTGGTTGGAGAAGGGTGCTTTAAGTGGTGATGTAGACCTGAGAAGCTATCATGAGAAATGGTGGGTGAGCTAGTAGCTGATTCATCGTTGCACTTCATCTAAGACTGGATATCTAATTTCATTACCATTACGGATACTGCATGTGTCTAACTGCAGGAACTCAAAGCTCCCGTCTTCTGAAACTCAACTTCGGCGGGGTTATCACCACCCAACTTGATGTCAAAGCTGGTGTTCCATCCGTCGGCATCGACGCTTCCATTGGCCGTATAAACCGACCACTGGCCTTGATCCTCTCCAGCAGCTTGGAAGTTGATCTTTTCAACGTCCAATCTGGGGACAATGCCTCCCTGCCTTCGGACCTCGTGAACCAGATCCATTGTCAAGCCATCAGCAGTGGCAGGCGTGCGGTCCTTGCGAACAAGAGCCTTGACTGTGACCGGCAGCTTTCCATCCGCAACATTTCCGATGCAAGACTGGGACTGCTGATACAGGAGGACGTCGCTCATGGGATATCCGTTGCCACCATTGTCGTACGTGATGGTTTCGTTGGTTGAGGGCTTGGTAACGTGGATGTAGAACTTGCTGATGCCCGTGTCAGGGCTGATCGTGGTGTCGAACTCCCACCAGGAGAAGCTCTCCCTCCATAAGCCAGACGCACTTCCACCTTGAAAGGTCGCCTTACGGGTAGTTATGACGGCTGATCCATTGGCGTTGCGGTCAGCGAATGTCAGTTGAACCGAGAGATCATTGGGGTCTCGGCCAGTGACTGCGGTGGTGCGGATGCGAATGCGGCCGCCGAAGGACAAGTTGCCGTCATCCTTGAGGAACAGGCCGCTGATGTAGGGCTTAATGTCTGTGGCCACGATGGGATCGCTGAGCTTAACGTTGGCGGGAACGGTGTCAATCATGCGAGTGAAGATGTCGGCACAGGTGGCCTGAAACGCAGCGGGGTCGGCCATGGCTTGCATCGTCTTGTTTCCGTCTGCGGCGAATATGCGCTTGTCCGAGTTGAGCGTGTCGTTCGTTCCAACAATCAGAGGGTTCTTGGTTGTACCATCCAAGTATTCGGTCACAACGACGTTGTCGAAGTTGGCAAATTCGGTGTCGAAGTGGGCTACGGTGTCGTTGTTCGGGTCCGCCTCGACGCCGACGATCTCGGGGAAGTCCGTACTGTGCACTCCTCCCAGAGTGTGACCGCATGCCACCATGGCGATCATGTCGCCTTGAGAGAAGCCTGCCCTGGTGAAAGCTTCCTGAGTAGTGTTGAGATCGGTCTGAGGCTCCGGGACACCAGCAGGGCCGGCCTCTTGAGCGTCGATACGGCCGGCGCGGAACGGGATTTGGATTCCGCCGCACGAAAAGCTGGCGACAAGGACACTCATAGCCAACAGATCAGAAGCAGAGGCACGAATGGAGTGGAAGCTGCTGAAGAATCCAAAGGTGTTGTTAAAAGCGCCTCCGATGTTTTCTGGGCGATCCAGCTCGAAGAAGATGGAAGCATCCAAACCACCAGTGCCGGCGGCGGCATCGTGTGTGGCCATGTCATGGAAAGCGGCGCGAATCCATTCAGCAGAGTTCTGACGGCCTGGAACGCTCGTGCCGAAGCCACAGGTAATGACGCCTAATCTATTGTCAGTAATTGATTGAGATTCTGTGGTAGAGAGGCAACCGACCATCGATGAAACCTCTGCGAAGGTATCCGGACTGAAGAGAGAGGTGATCCTCAATCTCATCGTACTGAGAAGGCCAGACATACTCCGCTGCGGCGATGGACGCCAGAGCGAGCGTGAACAGGATGCTCTGCTTCATGATGGATGCAGGCCTATAGAGAACGACTGAATAGAAAGGCAGGTGCGCAACCAAACATTCAGTTCATCTGACATCGTGCCAGCCCTCATTCGCTTTATGGGCTTCGAGAAAAGCTCTTCCATCTGGGCAATGCAACGTTGAACGGGGCGACCCTTGAATGATGGGACGGAGACATTTGTGCGCTTGGGGGGACAAGATCTCGTATTCCCCTATCCCACCATGCTATTCTAGTTCCTCTCAATGCCGATAGCGAGCTCCCATCATCCCGTCGGTTCCTACCGTTGTGGACCCTGCCCAGATATGCTTGAAGTTAAGTGCTGGTCTAGTTCATTTCCCGAGACCAGGCCTCCCTAGCTGATCCCTAATGCATCGTGGGGAATAGTCTCCTGCCCAATACGGCAGCTGTAATTACCTAGCATAGTGCCTGAAATACGAGCGACGTGGGTGACGGTCAGCGCACCGTCGCAGCGTGCTGTAGCTTGTTCGTGTCAAGATGATGCGTGGGCGGACGCCCTACCAGATCCGGATCACGCGACATAGAAATCGGCCGGGATCATGGCAAGAGGAACCCGAGGTATCGTCTGACAAGGCGAATCGAACAGGCAGTTGTTAACATGCAAAAGTGCGAAGATTGCAGGCAAGATGTTGTTGTGACTGAAGTTTTGACACGGTTTTGGGGCTTCTGGCTCGGGGTTCACCCACTTTGCCCACATAATTTTGGGCCTCTGAACTTGACAGAAAGCTAACTTGATTGCTGAAAGTCTCAATCAGTGAAGGACCTAAGTAATCTTCGCCTAGGGGGTAAAATGTGCTGTAAGAATGTGCAACTTGGCGCTGACCAAGTTCCGTCCAGTGTCAAGAATAACGGAAAAACGGCTGCCCGAACCCTTTCCCCCGGCCCTGGACTTCTTCCGTTCCAGTGCGTGTTGGGATTATGCCGTCATCGAAGTCAATTCAGGAGCTAACTGTTCGGCGCTCTCGGAGCTTTGTTGACCCCGACATATCTGCTGGTACCCGTATAACCTCTGATTATATCTCGACTCAGATACTACGTGTATAAGCACAACAATTCAACATGGGCGACGCTTCAATCCTTCACATGCCAACCACCCTCATATTTGGTGGCAATGGCAAAACCGCCCGTCAATTGACAACGATCCTTCGGGACGCCGATACCCCGCACACCGTCTTCAGCGTTATCCGCAATCCGGAACAGGTTCCGGACTTGGAAGCCATCGGCGCAAAGCCAATTGTCCAGGACATCTCTACCGCTTCAGAGGTCGACTTTATTAAAATCATTGAAGGCACCCGGCCTGACGTTGTGGTGTGGGCTGCTGGTGGCAAGGACCCCAAGTCTGCTGAGGCCGTTGACCGGGATGGAGCCATTCGCGCCATGGATGCCCTGGCCAAGGCCAACGTGGTCGCCAAACGCTACATCGTCGTCAGCGCCCTCGACGTCCGCGACCGAGACAGCAAGCCCGTTCCGGACTGGTACACCGAGGCCGATGAGAAGCTCAGCGACCGCATGTGGGGTATCATCGGTCCCATTCTCCGGGCTAAGCTAGCGGCCGACACGGAGTTGAGGGTGGGGAATGCGGATCGCAAGCTCAACTATACCATCGTGAGACCTGGTGGCTTGACTGAGGGACTTAGTACTGGAAAGGCACGCGCCGGAAAAGTTGGCACTGTCGGCATGATTCCCAGGGAAGATGTTGCCAAGGTCATCTACGCCGCGATTCAAAATGAGAAGACCTACGGGCTAGCATTCGATGTGCTGGGGCCCAAGGACGACAGCCCAACGATCAAAGAAGCTGTTTCAAAGGTGGCGAAAGATCATGAAGATACTTTTGAAGGTTACTACTAGGCACACAAAATCAATGATTATGACTCATGAATGTCTTTCAAAAGAATAGAAGAGGTCTTTCTACAGCCCTATTCCGTCGGTCGGAAGCTGTGCAGCCGAGGGCTCAACTACGTAGTAGTTCCTTCTTCAGTCGACTTGGCCTTCAATGGCTTTCGACCATGTATCGCCCAGCTGTAGAGTGTCAGTATTAAGACAAAAGTCGCCGATGGGCACTGAGAGCAGGGCATTCTTCTTACACCGTGAAGTAGGCGTGGATACTTCTGTCACCAAGATCTCTTCTTGCCTCCATAGCAAGTATCAACACCTCCTCTTTTGTCCAGTTCAGAGCCCTAGTCAAAGGCGCCATGAGAAACGCCTCCCAATTAACAGCTAGGTTCTCATAAGCCCACCCGCCGAGTTCTTTGTAATTCCGGTCTTTTGGCCATGGATTCGTAGGCCACTTGTATCTCTCCAGATGGATATCCTCAAAGCCGACTTCGGCCATGATATCAGCCAGCGACTTGATGTCTTTGAAGGGGCGCTTGAAGAAGTCTGCTGCTTCCTTCAAAAGCCGCAGACTCTTCATCAGGGAGGAGTCGGCTCTCAAAGTGCCGTCGTCAGAACGAGGCTCGGCGTCGATCTCCTGGATCTCAAGATAACCACCTGGATTTAAATGACTATCACAGAGTTTAGTTTAGTAACGGTAATCTTGTTTTACGTGGAGTTGATGGATATCAGTACTCAAAGCTTTGTTGGAAGTAAGCCTTCCAATCAGTGATACATGAATCAAGTACGCGGCTATGAATGTAGTCGAATGGCCGAGAGTATGTCCAAGGCTCCTCGAGATCGTCGATCTCAAAGCGTACATTCGGAGGGACACTATAGGGGCATAAGTAAGCCATGGTGTCCGGGTGTACAATGACCTTTCAGGCTGACTCACAACTCTGGTTGGGCAGGAGACAAATCAATGCCGAGAACCTGTGATGTCAATGTTAGTAAAGGGTGAAAGGCTCTGCTACGTTTGTACGTCGTTGATGACTGTTCAGCACCTGACCTCAGCTTCAGGGTGCTCGTCTCCGAACTCCATTGCCCAAATTCCTGTGCCTGTACCGACATCCAATACCCGACCGATTTTGGATTCAGGGTTATTGGGGGGCGCAGTGCCCAGTCGATTACGGAAAGTTCTGATGAACATGTTGTGTTGTAAATCTAGTTGTCGGACCTAATATTAACATGACAGTCCCACTATCGCAATGAGCGGTTGGAGAAACCGCAGAGAAAAAGGCCTTGCTGCACAAACCAAGTCGATCGTTTTCTGTCTCGTCGTTCGGAACATAATATTCTGCACGAGTCAGTGTTACTGTCGCGTAGAAAGTCTACCAGAAATCTCACTGCCGTCTTTGTACTTGTGATAAGTCCTGCCATTCTCTAAGCGGTAGTCGAAGATCGAGCTGGACAGGCTTGTGATAGATGAAGCAACGCTTTGCTAAAGAAAGTTTCAATTGATGATCTTGTTTATCCGCTATTATAAAACGCTGAGGACAGGCAACGTACGCCAGCAGCAGAAGCATCATCATCCGTGCTCTTAGGAAATAGGAATGTTAGTGCGCTGTACCAAATGTAATTGGCGCACACCTAGCATTACCTCTTCGGCAGCAATATTATCGTGGTCGTCTATCGCGACGTTACTTTGATTTCCCTCAGCTGCACGTGGCGGGCTGTTGGCCGTGTTATCTGTCGTGCACATCGTTGGAAGTGCTGCTCTCGAAGACGCTCTTGCGCAGGCGTGGGGGTGGATCGAGAGAGTCGCGTCTGGACTTTGACGCAAAGATTTGGTGATGATATTGCCTGGAATTGAAATAAAGAGGAACAATAATCAGCAGCAGACCCGTCAATTGATTTATCTGTCGAAATGAATGACCAAAGTAGGATCTGTTCTTACCCCTCTCCTTGGCTGGGTACAGTCATGCATGTTTACGGCGAGCGTCCCATCCAACACCATATCCAGGGAGGAAACCCCCGAAGAGATGATATAATGCACGTATCAGATCCTCGAATGCAGTAAACAGTGGATCTTAAGATTTCTGACCCTAGTCTAGTCTGAGTTATTAACAGTATTTACGGAGTACCCGGGGCTGGCTCAAGATGTTTGACGATTAACTCTTTGTAAATGTGACACTTTGCAGAATGCTTCGTGCTTTCACTATCAATCAACAGTAGTACGGTCATTCGAATTGGCGGCCAGGCTAATGAGCGACGTCAATATGATTTAGGAGTCAAACGTAAGATCACAACATTCCTGGTTTATCTTCTTGGCTGAAGAGCATGTGAGAGCACAAGTCAACACAGGCCTTGAGAAGAATGGACGCGCGTGATGGCCACTCTCCATCAAATGCTATCCTAGCATCCATCTCCATCACTAAACCACATTGCCTACCACCACAAGGCAAGTCCAGATCTCAATTAACCACTGATAAATCAGTTGGCCGCAACTTCCTCCGCAGCAGGTTTTCTACCGTAAACAGACCAGCTGATCCGAGAATTAGCCAAATACTCAAATAGCTAACTTATCGATAATAGGGCCACTTACATGGTCTGGTAAGCATGAATGCGTGGGTTCTTCATCTCGTTGCGGACTTCCATTGCAAAGACTGTAACCTCGTCTTTGCTCCAGTCATGGGCTCTCGTCAAAGGACCTAGCATGAAACCTTCGAGCCCAGCAATGGTGTTATCGAGGTTCCAGTACCCGAGCTCTTTATGTTTTGCATCCCGAGGCCACGGGTTGGTAGGCCACTTGAATAACTGCACTTTGATGTCAACAAACCCGGCCTCGGTCATGAGGTCCTTCAGAGTCGAGTTATCCTGGAATGGATGCCCAAATTTGACCGCCGCTTCGCCCCACAGCTTTGAGAATTTGTGTATGGCACCATCGTCGGCGAGTGTACCGTCGTCTGACTTGCCGTACAAATCGACTTCGTTGAGCTCAAGATATCCGTTGGGGTTCAAGTTGCTTCAGTGATTACATTATCAGCGTGAATTTGGTTGATCAACTTGTGCACGTAACTTACTCGAAACATTTCTGTATGTATTGCTTCCAATCACCAATACATGCTGTCATCAGGCGACTATGAATGTAATCGAAGGATTGCGAGAAAGTCCACGGCTCCTCAACATCATCAATCTCAAATTTCACATTCGGGGGCGTGCTGTTGAAAAAAGCATGTCAATCGTGAATACGAACCAATTGGCAATAGCAAGGGCCGAAACTTACGATACTGGCTGAATTGCCGAAAGATCAACCCCAAGAACCTGTTGAGTTCAAATCACGCTCTACAATCAGCAACGTAGCACAGTCACATATAGGCGATAGAGTCTAAGACTTCCACTCACTTCAGTTTCGGGGTACTCGTCCCCAAACTCTATAGCCCAGATTCCAGTTCCAGTTCCAACGTCCAGAACTCTCTTGACTTCAACACCAGAGTCCTTCTTGTTGGGAGGTGCAGTCCCGAGTTGATTGTCGAAACTGAGTAGGAACATGTTGTGCTGCACATCTTTCCATTTCAATTAGCCTTGGGTCAGAGAAAAAGATTGGCAAGAAATTTGGCGTCTCACCAAGGCGCTCCCTCTCTTGCTCACCATTAGGAATGGAATATTCTGTACTCTGTTAGTGGTCATGGTTTGTTACATCTCCGGACTCTCTTCTTCATTAACTCACTGCCATCCTTGTACTTATGGTATGTCCTTCCATTTTCAAGACGGTATTGAAGTACGGAGTCAGCCACGCTAGTGCTGGAGGAAGCAATGCTCTGAAGATCACTGCCGTCAATAAGAAGACCCTTTCAGGGTGGCCGGGCTAAAGCTTACCTCCCCTCTTACAGAGGAGTCATCTCCAGACTTTCTTCAATCAGTAAAAGAAAACACAGATTTCTGACTTCTATTATTATCTCACATCATCTGGATGAAGGTCCGGGGCGATGGTAGTTGTGAGTTTAGGTTGTTGAGCCTGCGCCACGAGAGATGATCGAAGTCGAGAGGCCGTTTGGGCCGCTGCGGCTGCATCAGTGTTTGATGCCATTGTATCAGCTTCGCTAAAGAAGAAGCAGGATTTCTCATAATAAGAAGACTGCGTGAACTGATCTTGCGTCTCGGATCGTGACGAGCAACGCAACTTTTAAACACAAGAAGCCTGTTGGCTCGGTAATTTACCCCTCACCTTAGCCAGAGTGAAGTGCTGTATGCATGTTGGTTTTGACCACGCGGTTGAAGGCGATATATGTGGGCTCTCTGCCTAGATGCCTAGAAAAGAGATAAGTCCGCTGTCCTATCGGATCGAAGCGACAGAAAGGTAAAAGATCCTCTTTGGATGACCTGGTGCGTATGTGTCAACTGCGTGCTGCAACCGTTGGCGGGGAATATTCTGCTACTTCCTGTCGGGAAGGAGTTTCTATTGTCTGTACCTATGATCACCACCTGCCACTCTTAGAACACACATTTAATTTCTCTGAGGTAGCTAAAGAATTCCCTTCGGATTCAGATTCAATGTTTACGAGGACAGCTTCGAGGACAGAGCAGGGTTCATGTCTAATTTCGGGTACAGAAGCCGGTCCAGCTGCACAGTAGCCCACCTCAGCACACGCGTGACGGTCGCGAAACTGTCTATATTCGTGCTTCGGCGAGGGCATATAAGGTACGGATTCTCCCTGCAAATTCTTCCATCCAATGACTCCTCGAAGCCTGGCCAGACCCTGTCCTGTTCCATTGCGCCCTTGATTCCCACATTCCGACGAGCTTATTCCGTCCTTAGTTATAGCTCACATGAACATGGTCCCTAGAAATCAAATGAATAGAGAGTTCTGGGGTTCTATTCAGTCAGGAAAACTTACCAGTGATTCGCAGTAAAGTCTCCGCGATCATCCATACTTCGCCAGCCAGACCAAGACTTGACCGAGTCCTGAGAAGGATTCCAGATCTTCTGGCCCCAAATAACGTACTTAAGGTCGAGCGTTGCTCGGTTGTTCATAACCCACTCGGCAATCTCCTTGCCTGAGATAGTGGGGACCTGCAGAGGAATTAGCCACGTAATGTTGGAAGCAAACAATCAACGCGGTGGGATTCACTCACACCACCAGCATCAGAGCACATCATATCTGTCGCTTTGCCGCAGCAATGATCCGAGTCGCCAGGGCATGTACAGTCGCGAGTGCAGTAGATTTGCCTGACCCTCCCAGAAAACGCTGCGACGATCTTCTTCGCGCCGCTGACAGCGACCTGTTTACAGGCACCGACAGATGGAATGGTTGGATCGTCGTAGACGCCGAATCCGGTGGCGGTAGAAGAGCAGCACTTGAAGCCACTAGGACCTGGACACTGATTCGAAGCAGATGTTCCTGCACAGTCGCTTGTCCAACGACAATTGCCCCCACTTCCGCAGGAAGCTTTGGTGCAGCACTTGATGTTGGAAGCATCGGCGGGACAACCGCCGTCGATAGTTGTACCTCCGTTCGAGGAGCAGGAACTTGTAGTTACGCAAACACCTGAGAGAACAGTCAGTCGAGGGTTTTTGTTCGAGACGCGGGTGATATTATCGTACCGGCTCTACCACCGGAGCCATAGCAGGGCTCATTCAGCGCCGCCAGTGCGGCCTGCACTGAAAAAGAGGAGACGAAAAATGATTGATATCTCATCGTGGTGTTTCGAAAGAAGCCGTGATAAAGGATTATTTTGATAATGTTGTAAAAGTCCGTCACTGCAATGTCAACTATCTACTGCATCAAAAGACCGCGGTGAGCCGTTGGCTTTATAGTCCGAAGCCATCAGTCATCTTGCCTCTTCCAGCAGACAAATCCCTCCCATCAGTTTGTCCGAGCTTATGCAACACGGAACATCAGCGAGGCAGCCGTAGCTGAAAGTATGTGCATACCATTGCAGCACCTCGAACTGATCATGAAGCTTGGCACTCGTCACTTGACCTCACATCTGATCAACTCAAAGCTGTTATAACGTTCATCGCATCGAGACGTGTTCCATCTAGGATATCTTGGACCTGATTGGTGGTACGTAGTCTGGGGTTCACCTAAGCCATCAACGATTAGTTCAGAATCGTCAGCCACTCACACTGCTGTTTTCCTGCAGGGGTGCAGCGGGATGGCCCTACAGAGCTACGTTAGCGGCCGAAACTGAGGTCCCACTAGCCTATGATGATGGAACAGAAATGAAGATGGGACCAAACATTGCTTAGGTCGATGCGGACATGAGGGGCAAAGGCAGGATCTTGGTCACAAAGATAGGCTGACCCTCGTCAGGCCGTAATCACAACAAGTTGAGCACTTTTGTTGCTTCTCGACGGCGATGGTAGTCCTGGGAACTCAATCAGTTCTGCGAAAATGCCATTCGGACTCGTTTCATTCTTAGGTGTTTACTTTGCCTACGGTAAGCGTCCTTGCTCGCACCCAATAACCTATCTTCTACCCAGACACCCAGAGACCATAGTACCTACGCACATAAAAAACTAGCCTTCAAATCCCTTGACGATCCTGTAGATCTAGAGCCCTACAGAATGGCGTCATCTGTCACCGAGCTGTGGGAGCGACCTTGGCACTGTGAGACACACTTTTTAAGACAACCCTTTAAGCTGGTCCCTTGATTCGTCTTGGACCCTGTCATGCCTGTCATGCATGTCCCGGTAATGCCGGAAAGAAGCTACTAGGTATTATAGCGGGTCAGACGGGGAGACAGATTCCCCGCTTCATGGTGTCCATGTGCTAGTGTGCTATGCAATGCTGTCAGGCCTGAATGAACTCTTCAGCTGGGCACATTAACCGCTTGACTGTGACGTAGGAGGCAGAGCCATGTTCGCTCCTTCTAGACAACAGTGTGCAAGATGAAGACTCAGGGTGTTTCAGCTCTGTGAGAGTCTACACCCTTATCCCCCGCAGCTGAAAGATGCTGTGCGACGATCCGAGGCTGCCAAACTAAGCTTATCTGCATAGCCCGCACGCCGCTGAGACTATCTTTACTTGCTTGGTAGAGTAAGGTAGACTTTATCCCTCAAATGGTATGGTGAGCCGCGACATGGGATGTAACGTTGTCACAAGGGGCAAACATCATTGAGTTAGCGGCATCAGGTTAACAGTATTAGCTCAACAACATAAGGCATCCTTCGCCAAGACTAATTACGAATAGTTCCACGGTCCAGTCTCTTACCATAAGCCATTTTCATCAAGATGCACAACTGGAATCTTCGGCATTAGTCCATGTGCTCCCAGTATGGAACGCTCCGCAGATACGCATGCCGTGAAAGTGTTTAACGATCCAAGAAGGGAGAATACCCCAATGGACGTGTTTCGTGGTCAAATGAACGAGTAGACTGATAGACAGACGGGGATTTACACTCATGTAAATACAGCCTCGAGAATATGTACCGGGTCATTGCTATCTGCCTAATAAAAAAGCGGTCTGTGATGTATGCTCCCTGACTCTATGTTGGCTTCACGACATCAACTGTTTAAACACGAGCGTCTAGTTCCGGCGACTTGAACAGGGATTATCTGCAGGTCAATCTGCCATTGGACAATGCCGCCGGTACTGCAAGATGGGAAGGTTCAGGACACGCAAGTTGCAGCCTGGGCTACCAGAACTTCTTATCATGAAATGAGGCAGCAGGCAACGCGTCAGTGTCTGCACAACCAACATTGAGATAGGCCTCCGGACACGCGCGTCCTACCTTGTGTCTTAAAGAGCCTTTATGCACTAGCAAACCCAGCCCTTTCTGAGCTATTTACCGAAGCCAGTTGTCTCGTCAAGAATATGACCTGTACCAACACTCCAATTCTCTCGCCCTGTTGAAGACATTCTATTGCCTCTAAGATTGACCATGTCTTGCCAAGAGACATTCGGCGATCGGTCTTTCGGACCAAGAGTCGATCACCAATGTCGTTCATTTGACTTTACATTGTTCTTTGAAGACGTCTTCTTTGCCTCTTTACCTTCTGGCCTTTTCCTCCTCCTTGCGTTAGCGTCTTTCATTAGCCTGAGTCACAGACATATTGTTTCGACTCTCCATTCCAAGCTAGCTCATGGTAAATTGGTACGTTTGCTACCAATGGACTGTGGATGTACAATATTTGCAGTTATCGCATGTCTGACAATCTTAAAGACGACATTGACCACATTGTTTGTTTTTCAGGTCATCTATCTTGCTCTGCGCATAGACAACATCCAATTCAAGACGTCGGCATCAATTTCTGCCGATGTCCTAGCAGTAACATCAACGGCTGCAGTCTTTGCGCTCTCCGCCTTAACCCACCAAAGGTCCCAGAGGCCATCTACGCTGGTTGTGTTCTACCTCTCTGCATCTAGTATTCTGAGTATTGCGCGACTTCGGACTTTATGGCTCTTCAGCAAAGAACTCACGGTGCCAATCGTTTTTACTTTCATCCTCTTCATCACTGTTGTTGCTCTGGTCTTGGAATCTCTTGCAATGAAGAAGGAACTGGCTAATTCAGAACCTCCGAACGACGACAAGGACGTAACACGGGAACAAAGCAGCGGTTTCTGGGCGAGAACTTGCTTTTGGTGGTTGGCAAGAACGTTCTATTTGGGATTTACTAAAGTCATATCTTTGAGTGACCTTCCAGTTCTTGACCCAAGCATCAAAAGCCAAAGGTTGCACACAAGGCTTGCCGCTTCGTGGGACAAATGTAAGCTATAATCCTCGTGCCAGCAAGCAGTCTTAATCGATCAAGACACTGCTGACCTCGATTGCCTCCTAGATGACTATGGACAACGCCACAGTCTCCTTCGAGCTTGTTTCCGAAGTTACCTTGGTTCCTTCCTGTCACCCATACTTCCCCGACTATGTCTCAGCATTTTCACATTCACCCAGTCATTTCTTATCGACACAACCGTCACCTATGTTGCTGAAACCAATCCCGACGCCCACTATGGCAGAGGTCTAATAGGCGCATGGGCTCTAGTCTATCTAGGGATTGCGGCGAGCACCTCGGTCTACCAATACCACAACTTCCGTTTTGCCACCAGAATCCGCGGAGGTCTGATTGCGCTTCTCTATTGCCACGCTGTTCATACCAGAGAGGTGGACATGGGAGAAATTTCTGCGGTCACCCTCATGGGGACAGACATCGAGCGGATATTTGGCGCCATGTCCATGTTCCATTCAGTTTGGGCATCGCTTCTCGACATTGCTATCGCCAGCTGGTTGCTTGGACGCCAGCTTTCACTGGCTTGCTTGGCCCCTACTCTCCTCGTTCTAGGTATGTTAAAGATATCAAAGATCTCCATTTACGTGTCAAATCCGCTTACCTCGGATGTGTAGTCTTCATTGTAGCGACGTCAAAGATCTCAGTGGCCACCCAAACAGCGCAAATGCGCTGGATTGAAAGAATTCAGGAGCGTCTTCGTGTAACGACTATCATGCTAGGCGACATAAAGGCTGTCAAAATGCTTGGTCTCGGCCGTGTGATGGCAAATGTGCTCCAAAAGCTAAGAACTGAAGAAGTCGAAACCTCGAAGTCATCCAGGAAGCTTCTCGTTACAACGTTGATGCTTTGTAAGTGCCCCAGCTCCGGCGAGGAATTAGGACGTTTGCCAGTTTCTGATCACGGACAACCAGCGCTCACTCCAATCAATCTCGCTCCTATTGTTACTTTCGCTGTTCATGTCATTGTCTCTAGCTTTTGGAAGCACACTACCTTATTACCAGCACAAGCCTTTACATCTGTTGCCTTGATCGCACTACTCACAACACCAGTCGTCGAGTTCATTCAGCTACTTCCCATGGTGGTGCAATCGTTTGGGTGTTTCAGTCGTCTACAGGACTTCTGCAACTACAATCACAAGTCCACACTGGGCAATGAATCGACCGGCACTCTCATTCCGCAAGACAACTCAACGGGAACAGAAACTGGCCTGGAGCAACTCAACAGGATCAACCCCCCTCATGAGACACAACAGTACATTGTCTCCTGGAGAGACCAGAGCTTTGAAAGGACGAAAGATCAAATGGTGCTCTATGGAATCACCGTTGATGTACCCCGAGGAATGTTGACTGTTGTAGTTGGTCCAGTAGGGAGCGGTAAATCAAGCTTCCTGAGTGCGATACTAGGCGAGCTGAAGTCTAGATCCTCGACTGAAGCTCTGGAGCCAACAGAGGGTTTTGGGAAATGCACCATGGCTTATTGCTCGCAGTCGCCCTGGCTCGAGAATGGCACTCTCCGGGAAAATATACTCGGAATTTCTTCCTTTGAGCAGAAGTGGTACAACAGCGTCGTCTCTGCTTGTGGACTTGAAACAGACTTGAAGGTACTCGAGAACGGCGATCTGACTATTATTGGCAGCAACGGTGTTAATCTCAGTGGGGGACAAAAGCAGCGCGTTGTGAGTGGCCGGCTATTCTCCCGTTCTGTATGTGCTTTGACTTCAGAGAATTGACGTGCGTTTCTTCACCTCTAGGCGCTTGCACGAGCTATTTATTCAAGGTGTAAAGTAGTTATTCTTGACGATGTCTTTAGTGGCTTGGACGCGCATACCTCACGTCATGTCACGACCCGCCTCTTGGGATCCAATGGTCATTTCCGACAAAACCACATAACAGCTGTGATTGCAACACATGATCGTAAGCTTAATTTCTTGGTTCCCCGTATAGTGTGCATGCTACTGACACAATTTTCATTGCAGGCAACATTATGCAATTCGCAGATAACATGATTGTGATCGACACCGGAAGAATTCAGGAAGCCGGCAGCCCTATGACTCTGTCTGATGGGAAAGGATATGTCAGCAAGCTCGGGCTGAGGAGTACTTCTGGAGATATGATTGAGGAGCTTGGGGAGGCTAGAATACATGTAGAGAGAAGCTCTGAGTCTCACAAAGAGACTGCGATCATATCAGCAGACGC